CTTCCTGTGGCTGACAACAGGATCGCAAACCCAAAGGCCTATGGGGAGAATGACAGCGGCAGGAGTAAAGCAGTCCTGGGCCAGGGGACCCCGGCCCTCCAAGGACAGGCCACCCTCACGTCTCGGGGCCTGGGCAATGGGTACCAGCAGAGGTCCAGGGGCCGACTGTGTAAATGTTTAAAAGTTATAAATCAGGAATTCCCTGGTGGTCCAGTGGTTAGGGCTCTGCGCTTTCACTGCCGAGGGCCCAGGTTCAATCCCTGGTTGGGGACCTAGGATCCTACAAGTTGCATGGCGCGTGGCCAAAAAAAAAAAGTTATAACTCAAATGACAAGCTGTTGAATAGATACTCGGCCTCGACAGTTCTACCTTTTTTAAAAATTTTTAATTAATTAATTAATTTATTTTTGGCTGTGTTGGGTCTCGTTGTTGCGCACAGGCTTTCTCTAGTTGTGGCAAGCGGGGGCTACTCTTCGTTGCGGTTCACGGGCTTCTCGCTGCGGTGGCTTCTCTTGTTGCAGAGCACGGGCTCTATGCGTGCGCAGGCTTCAGTAGTTGTGGCTCGCGGGCTCAGTAGTTGTGGCTCACAGGCTCTAGAGCGCAGGCTCGGTAGTTGTGGCGCCCAGGCTTAGTTGCTTTGCGGCATGTGGGATCTTCCCAGACCGGGGCTCGAACCCGTGTCCCCTGCCTTGGCAGGAGGATTCCTAACCAGTGCGCCACCAGGGAAGCCCCCCTTTTTTGAGTTTTAAGAGAACTTCTTCCATGGCCTCATTGTGCCCACGGTGTTTCATTCATTCAGTAAACGTTTCTCTGGGCCCCCACGATGTGCCGGGCTCTGAGCAAAGCTGCTGTGGAAATAGAGATGAACACTATTGCTACAGCTTAATGGAGGAGACAGATGTGGGCCTGAAGAATTAGAATATGCCTCACAGCTGCCACCCACCATTGCTCTGTGATGAAAATCACAAGCCGGATGCTGATTCTTTTTGGCATGAGCGTCACCTCCGCTAGCCGCTGTGGTGTAAGAGCTGGTTCTCAAAGCTGTGGCCCCCAGACCAGCAGTCTGTGTTTTTTCTTTTTTTTTTTTTGCATTACGTGGGCCTCTCACTGCCGTGGCCTCTCCCGTTGCGGAGCACAGGCTCCGGACGCGCAGGCTCAGCGGCCATGACTCACGGGCCCAGCCGCTCCGCGGCATGTGAGATCTTCCCGGACCGGGGCACGAACCCGCGTCCCCTGCATCGGCAGGCAGACTCCCAACCACTACGCCACCAGGGAAGCCCCAGCAGTCTGTGTTTTAAGGGGCCCTCCTGCTCATGTTGATACCTGATAAAAGTTTGAGATCCCATGCCTTAAAGCCATACTTCTCAGCCTTGGCCACACATTCATATCCCCTGGGGACCTTTTAAAAACTATGACTGCTTATACTCCACCCCAGAACAATTAAATCAGGATCTCTGGGAGTGGGGCCGAGGCCTTAGAATGTTTAAAGCTCCCTGGGTGAATCAAACGAACCACTGCCTTAGTGGATGACAGGCCGGCGTGAGAATGCCAATAATAGGCCGGGCTGAGCCAGCCAGCGCGCTCTGGGCGACCGCGGGGCCTGGGAAGGCTCTGGGCATTCCATTCGGGCTCCGAGGTTCCTCTCCCAAGCACGAACCTCGTTTAGACGCGTAGCAGCACCTGCCTCTTCAACTAACCCAGAGTAGGCTCGGGAAAGAAACGTCATGATGCTGAAGCTGCCGGCTCTCTGCCTGTTGAGCAGTGATCTTCGGCCAGTCATTTGGGGAAAGAGAGTAAGAGGTGAGTCACCTACAGAGTGGTTTGTGCCAAGAACGTTCCCTGAGATCTTTGGAACGCTCCGGGTGTGAGTAACTCCAGGCACGTTTGGATTCCTTCTTTGTCCTCTTCGGGTTAGTCTCCTATTTCTCAATTGAGTTTGAATCGTGTATCGCGTTTGTAAAGTACACGTGTCATTTACGTTATAATTTATGTATTTATAAATTATAATTTATGTTATAATTACATGCATTGTAATTAGCAAGGGCATAGGAAGTTTAAGAATCACAAGAACAATTACTGCCGGTTGAGTGCTGACTGTGTTAGGCACTGTGTCAGCACTTTAGATACATTGTCACGGTAAGCCTCAGATCAGCCCACTGCAAATGGTTTACCCTATTACTCCCTTTTTCAAGACAGGAAACTGAGGATAAGGAATGTTAAGTTACTAACCCGAAGTCACATAGAAAATGGCAGAACCAGGTTTTGAACCTAGGTCTGCCATCAAAGATCATAGTGTTAGCCCCAGTCTCCTTTGGCTCATAGTAAGTGGTGGCACATGCATTTACTAATAGTATTAAAATCATATAGTAGAATCTGTAAATAATATATGCTACTGGATAGTTTTATTTATACACAAAATTGTACATAATTTAACATGCAGCTGTACATAATATAAACTCAACAAATGCTGTATATGAAAATGTTACCAATTAGAGCTACTTGCATAGTACCAATTACGGTTCGTTTGTATCCATAACCAATGATGTTATATCTAAAGACCATTCCTGGAATGTTGCATTGAAGATATATGGCTTCTTTGAAAATATTAGGCGATTACTAAGATACAGTGTAAAAAGGGGAAAAGCAGGATACAAAAGCAGGATACAAAAAAGGATATATACACGTACCAGTTTTGCAAAAAAAAATAGACACATGTGTTTTATATGCATGGGAAAAAGTGGAAGGAAGGTACCCCAGATCTTTCACAGAAATGATGGCTGGACTGCAAGAAGTTTGTATTTTCTTCTTGATACTTGGGGCAAGACCAAGACACTAGGCTGTTCCAGACAGGCTAATATTTGGCGTTGCTTCAAACTGGTGCTCTTTCCATTTTTGTTCTACATTTATTTAGTGGACAGGGAGAAATTGGCTATCTATTGATAAATATTGTGTACAAATATAGATTCTCTTCCTGATTCATTCCTACAGACCAAAGAAGTTCAGGTTCTGGGGGAAAAAATTTATTTCCCACTTTTCTGTGGCTCTTATTCTCTCTCTCTCTCTCTCTCTCTCTCTCTGTAAAATTCAAAACCCTGCAATTTGGAGGGACACATATTAGTTTCAAATGTAGACACTAAAATAAATTACTCATTTCTAGCCCTTTGTCAGGCACCGTTCAGGTTTCTGAATTTTAGCCGGCTGCAGTGTGCGTGGTACAAAAATACTGCACAGAGAAGGCTGATGGGAGTGGGGAGTGGTTTCGTTTGTTTCTGTGTTCTATTTCTCGCCTCCTTGCATTTTGCCAGTTACGCAAGGAGCCCTGTGTGGAGACCTGCATTAACTGGCGCCACATTTCCATTTGAAGCCACAGACATGTCAGCACTCTGCTCATTCTAGGAAATTTGGAAAATACGCCAAGAGTGACTTTCCAAATCAGAAAGCAGCCCTCACAGAATGAGTTGGGAATTGTTCCCTTTTCTTATGTTTTTGGGAGAGTTTGTGGGGGATTGGTATTCTTTAAATATTTGGTAGAATTCACCAATGAAGCCATTTGGTCCTTGGTTTTTCTTTGTGGAAGCTGTAAAGTTACTAATTCAATCTATTTACTTGTTATAGGTCTGTTTAGATTTTCTCTGTCTTCTTGAGTCAGTTTTGGTCATTTGTATCTTCCTAGGAATTTGTCCATTTCACCTAAGTTATCTGATTTGTTGGCATATAATTGCTCATACTCTTTTTAATCTCTGTAAGATTGGTACTGGTATTCCCTCTTTCATTCCTGATTTTAATAATTTGAGTCTTTTCTCTTCTTTTTCTTGGTTAGTCTCGCTTAAGACTTGCCAACTGTGTTGATATTTTCAATGAATGATGGCTTCTTAGGTCTTCAATTTAAAAATTATATCACATAAGTTGTATGTATGTTACATAGAATCTTTTGAGTATATAAAACATTGCAGGATAAAGATGGAAAAGAAAGAAAGGAAAAAAGAATCATGGTGCAGTTAGTTGCCTTAAGAAACTTACCACAGCCTTAGGTCCTGTATTTGAGTTTCACACTGAATTATTTGCTTGTTCATCTAAACTAATTTCTAAATTCTTCAGGATTCCATCTTTTTTTTTTTTTTTTTTTTTTGCGTTACGCGGGCCTCTCACTGTTGCGGCCTCTCCCGCTGCGGAGCACAGGCTCTGGACGCACAGGCTCAGCGGCCATGGCTCACGGGCCCAGCTGCTCCGCGGCATGTGGGATCCTCCCGGACCGGGGCATGAACCCGTGTCCCCTGCATTGGCAGGCAGACTCTCAACCACTGTGCCACCAGGGAAGCCCAGGATTCCATCTTTTAAATGAAACTAATATCTTCTTCACAAAGCAAGGATGTAGTAGATACACTGTGAGATACTTAGGTGAAAAGTGAAGAAATGAAACACTGTTCATGCCAATGCTAATAGTATTGACCAGTTGGACAGTGGATCAAAGCTGCTGTAAAATTTAGTACCACAAAGTGGGTGGCTTCACACAACAGGAATTTATTCTCTCATGGAAGTCTGAAATCAAGGTGTCAGCAGGGTCATGCTCTCTATGAAACATGTAGAGGATAATGTGTGTCCTTGCCTCTTCTATCTTCTGCAGTTACCATCAATCCTTGATGTTCCTTGGCTTAAGCTGTATCCCTCCAACCACTGCCTCGGCCATCACATGTCCATCTTGGCCCTGAATGTCTCTTTCCTCTTTTTATGAGGATACTGGTCATGTTGTATGAAAGGCCCACCCTCCTCCAGTACAACCTCATCTTAACTAATGACATCTGCCCTGAGGGACTGAGGGACTTGGGGTTAGGACTTCAACCTATCTTTCTTTGGAGGGGGGATACAGTCAACTCATAACATACATGTTCTAAGCTAACAGTGAACATTTGTCTGTTACTCTCCAATTCTTAGAAGTCTATCAAAGTGTCTTTTCTGCTTACCATGGTCTTTTTTTTTTTCCCCCTAAACCTCTTTCCTAGATTGAAGATATGTTTAATGAAATCAGATTTAGTGAGTATGTGGACACTGGAAAACTAATTGACAAAATCAACCTACCGGATTTCTTCAAAGTTTACCTTAATCACAGGCCACCCTTCGGTAACACCATGAGTGGCATCCAGCGGAGCTTTGACATTCTTGGTTTTACCAATTCAAAGGGAAAGAAAGCGATTCGAAGAGAGGATTTTCTGAAACTGCTTCAAACCAAAGGTAAATACCTAAATAGGTATATCTCGTAACACCCTTGAGCCATTCCCACTGGAGAGAACTGAGCTGGGAGACAGAACGCCCCCCGGCATCTCGAATTTGACTGGACTTCAGCCGCGAGGATGCCGCTTACTGACCCACGTGGCTGGCAAACACGGGGTAAAGGGAAGGATGCTGGGAACCAGAAGGATGCAGTTTATGTTCCAACTTCCTGGAGCTGCAAGATTCAGGGCCTTCACTCGTAAAGCAGGAATACAAGTGCCAGCCATCAACCTCACAGAGCTACTACGAGACTGGGTTGCATTTGTGAAATAAAACCACACCAAAGTAAAACTTTTCATTTTTACCTATTCTTTTCCTCATCGTACTTTAAAAAAAAATACACTTATTTATTTATTTTTGGCTGCGTTGGGTCTTTGTTGCTGTGCTCGGGCTTTCTCTAGTTACGGCAAGCAGGGGCTACTCTTCGTTGTGGTGCGCGGGCTTCTCTCTTCGTTGAAGTGCGCGGGCTTCTCATCACAGTGGCTTCTCGTTGCAGAGCACGGGCTCTAGGCGTGTGGGCTTCTGTAGTTGTGGCACACGGGCTCAGTAGTTGTGGCTTATGGCCTCTAGAGTGCAGGCTCAGTAGTTGTGGCGCACAGGCTTAGTTGCTCCACAGCATGTGGGATCTTCCCGGATCAGGGCTCAAACCCATGTCCCCTGCATTGGCAGGCAGATTCTTAGCCACTGCGCCACCAGGGAAGTCCTTCCTCATCGTTTTATGTGAGGAAGTCAAGTAGCCCTTTTCTCTGGGCGATCATTTCATCTTAGCCAAACTGCTGCTTCTAATGTGAGGGAATTTGAAATGAAGCTAAGCACAGTCTTTATCAGAGTGCTGTCTTCTTTCTCTGCACAAGCCCCAACACAGCCCCCTGGGTTGGAGTCCCATTTTTAGCACCATATAAGGAAGTCTCTGTGACAGTAACATGGGACTCCCTAGAATGTTTTTGTGTCTCAAGGAAACAGTGGAATCATTCTCTTGAAGACCCCAGAATGATGATGCTAAACTCTGACGTGAGGCTCAGTCCCATGAGCTGAACAGCCTCCTTTTCCCTTTGTGATGCCCAGGTGAGCACATGACGGAAGAGGAGATGTCTGACTGCTTCGCTACACTGTTCGGACTGAATCCTGAGGGCTGGAAATCCGAGCCCGCAGCCTCTCCTGTCAAAGGTACTACAGTGGGCTCTGTCTGGACACGTAGCTGAGCTGCACTAATTTGTTGGCGACTTAAGTGCATTTAAGTCTTCTAACTGGTGCAAGCCACTCTCCTTCATACCATACACACAACAAAGCAAGTCTGTTGGGAACGCAACATGAATAAGTTATAAAAAGACCAGGGAGTGGTGGTCATGTCTAAGAGATGAAAGCTTTTGTTCTTGTGCTCCGTCCTTCCTTCCCAGCCTTGTTTCTTCCCTTTATTCCCCCGATTCAGTCCTCATCTTTCCAGCTTGGGTAGGCGAATCTTGGACACTAGTAGAGGATACAGTTCGGAAGCTCTTTCAGAAGAGGTATCGTCATGAGAGCCTTGGATAAGGAGAGGGCAGGGACTCGGCAGGCAGGCACGAGCCCGACTTCAAGCTGCCAGAGCTTGAACATCTTTAAAGATCATCCTGGGACTCCCCTGGCAGTCCAGTGGTTAGGACTCCGCGCTTCCACTGCAGGGGGCGTGGGTTCGATCCCTGGTCGGGGAACTAAGATCCCGCATGCTGTGCAGTGTGGCCAAAAAAAAAAAATCCTCCTCTCCTTTCCTGTCTGAGGATTTCCCACCTCCTTCTTTTAGCTCACTGACGCCCTTGTGCTGGAACGTGTCCATGGACAACCCCGAGTGCTGCCCTGCTGCCCCCATGGGGTCGGGAGCAAAGACTCCTCACCAGGCTTCCTTCTCCCTCTCCTTCTGTTGTCTGTTCCCAATTTCAAATTGAACACAGTTCCTAACACAGATAGTTCTAGACTCCAGGAGCTGATTGGTCATTTCCAACCTGCAAGCTCCTCTATGCCATTCCTTGTGTACCTGGGATCTCAGAATGTAACTTTCCCAATTGTTTTATATACACACACATGTATACAGTGTTCCTAAGTGTCTCAAAACAGTAAAATCAATGATGCCTTGTAGTTGAGGCTTTGCAGTGAAGTGTGCAGAGTTTTGGGTAACAGTGCTCCAAACCCAAACCACAAAGGAGGGATTTTAACCAGTTTCCACCCAAAGGTTTTCACGGAATCAGGGCCAAATCCCAGCACAAAGCTCCTCTCACTTTTGTTTAGTATCATTTCCTCATATTTTTGGAAAATGCTTCTGAGTTAGAAACCTAATTGTTATGAAGGCATTTGCTTTCTTTTCTTGTTTGGTTAGGTTCAGAAATTTGCTTTGAAGAAGAACTTCCAGACGAAATCACTGCAGAAATATTCACGACTCAAATTCTTGGCCTAACCATTTCCCAAGATTCTGGACAAGATCCTACGGTCAGTGAAGTTGAAAGGAGTGCCTGAAGCACAAAGGACTTTGTGTGTGTGTGTTTTTTCCACAAGGCACTGCTTTTCCCACATTTCCCTACCCCTACTCTAATCTTCAGAACGTTTAGACATTAAAAGCAAATTTCTGTTAAGCAATGGAATTCACAAAGTTGGACATTCCACTGTTTCTGAAATAGAAAAGTGGGTGGAGGCAAGAAAAACGATGGCAGCTGGATGGAAAGGGTGTCTGGAGACCCCGGCTGCCATTCTCATGCCTAATCCACGGCAGTGCTGCCTGGAGGGGGTTTGGACAGGATGAGAAGGTGGCGTGGTCCCCGGGGGCAGAAGGGCCCTCAGCCAGCAGCAGGCCTTCCTCGTGGCAAGTGTGGCCTTATTTCTATCCCCTCAAGTGGCACCTGGACCCTTAGCCTAACATGGCCTGATATGGGTCATCCCAGCCTGCTATTGGGCTGGGGCGGGGGCGTTGGGTGCTCTGGGCTCCCGAGAGCCCCGGCTTGTGGCTTCTTATGAGCAAAACCCCTGAGCAGTTGTGTGCGACCGTTATGAAGAGCATCCCCGGCCATGCTTAACGCTGGTGGCACCTGCCAGAGAGAATGCAGAACAGCAGCCCCGGAGCCCTGTGTGTACCGCAGCTGGACCAGAAACGGCCGGCCGGCCTCCCCGGGGCAGAGCTCAGCAGAGGGGAGCCGCCCCCTCACACAGCGCACGCGCCGCATAGGCCAGCGTGGTTGATTCGCAGCCTTGAACTCCGCTGGGCTGCAGAACTCGTAGCAGGCGAAAGCAGTTCCCCGGCGCGGCTCGGGATGTTGAGGGAACGTGACTCAGGCTTCAGCAGCATTCTGACCTTGAAGATAGGGTACCCTCGTCATATAAACAGATGGAAGTTATGGTCTGATTTTAAGAGTTTTGTCCTCAGTTATGAGGTCTCACTCAGGCAAATGGGCCAAAGGTTATTCTCCACACGTGCTTAGTCCGACACACCCGCTGGCCAGTACCAGCTCCTTCCCCGGAGAAACCAGCCTTTGAGATGATGTTTCTGACCCCCGGAGCAGGGGTCTGTGTGAGAGAAACAGAACGGCTGCAGCACCCTCCTCCAGGCACAGAGCCCCCTGCGTGGCGGCCGTTTGGAAACCTGGCTCTGTGGGTCCTTGGGACTGCCTGGAACACAGAACAGAGCCGTATCCCCCACCGCGGCTGTGTCACCACCGTCTCGGGACAGCCGGCGCCCGCTCGTCACACTGTATACCTCCAGGACTTTGCAACCTGATTTACATTTGGTTCTTTTTGAAAAACACGAAAAGGAAAACAAGCTTTGTGAATCAGCTTTGCAGCTGCTGAGGGCTTAGGAGAGACAGACTAACAAGCCAGTTAAAAAGTTCCCGGGGACATGTTAGGGAGCAGAAAACTCTCAAGTGACTTGTTCTCTTCAGAAAATAACTCAGCATGGGATGCACTCTGGACACCCACCAGGGGCTTCTTTCATCAGGTCCTTTTTGGTTCTTGTTGACGACATATATTGGAGTCATCGTCTGGAGCAGAACCGGCCCGTGAGCAGTTGGACCTGTGGCGGCGGGGCTGGTGAGTGGGAACCGCCATCAGGCCCAGGCTGAGCCGCTCGCTCTGTGCTGAGTCGATAGGGGAAGGGTGAGGGTCAGGGTGGCCGTCCATCCGGGAAGGCGCAAATAGCAGGGGACCGCAGCATCCGTGTCAGCGGCGTTCCCACCCTGCTCCCAGCCCAGCCAGGCCGCAGGCGCCCCTTCTCACCCTTTCTGCTGGTGCTTTTCCTGGGGGAGCTCTCAGCTTGTCCGACCAGGGTGAAGAGCAGCTCATGTGCACCTTCCATCCCTGGCGAGGCGTCTTCACCTGCTGGCCACGCAAGTGGTGGCGAGGCCGGGCCCCAGCACCCGGGTCCAGGGCAGGAAGAGGAGGGCTGCCTTCCTGCCCAGAGAGCAGAGAGCTCAGACTCTCCCAGCCATGTGGGTAGCAGAGCAGCAACACCAGAAATGGAGGGAGCAGAGACCCAAGACGGACGGTCTCGCTGGGCTTGTACGTCGGACGTAGGGGTGAGACGCTGGACCCCGAAGAGCACCATGTGATGTTCTTTTGAAAAAATAATACTGTTTCAGATGGGGCCTCTGGCTACCGACCTCTGCATCCTGGCCTGTTGCTTCCAGAGTTCAGGAGCCCGTGGAAAAGCCATGATTGTCCAGGAACCACCCAAAGCTTCCCCCGCCCCCCACTCTCTCCTCCAGACCCCCAGGCCCCTCCTGGGCAGGATGAGTGTCTTGTTTGCACAGCACCAGCCCAAGGGCCGGGCCGGCCTGGGCTTGCATCCTGCCTCTGCCATTTAGTAGCACCCTGTGTGCCCTTGGGTGTGGCTAATCTCTTAAACCTCAGTTTCCCCCTGGAACAACTCCTGGGGTGGTGGTGAGGATTAAAAGAGATATTGCAAATAAAAGTGTTCCTGGCATAACGTAGTGCTCAAAGTAGGACAGCAGCTATTATCACTGCAGGCAGAAACTGTGCCTGAGACTGGGGAAGACGTTTGATGAGAATTAATCTCTCCCGACTCCAGGGTTTTAGCATCTGTTAATACTTGCTCAAATAGGGGTCTCTGCAAGCTTTGACAAAGGACCCTTGATAAATATTTGTGGAACGACTGAATGAAAGAACGTGAAGCTTCAGTGCTCTTTTAATAGCTGACTTAGCTTTTGAATCAAAGTGAATCCGGCCCCCACAGGCCATCTGCATCAGGGTCAGCAGACTCTCTGGAAAGGGCCAGAGGGTAAACAGTGGGGATCTGTGGGCCGAGTGGGCTGGTGGATGCCTCACCTCGGCCGTTGGAGCACAAACGCAGCCACACAGACTCTGGTCCAGGAAAGAACGAACGTGGCCCCCTTCCAATCAAACTTAATTTGTGGACACTGAAACTAATTTGGATTTCATGAGAATTTCCACATACCGTGAAATCTTATTCTTCTGAGATTTTTTTCAACCACTCAAAAATGTGAAAGCCAGTCTTAGCTTGCGGACCACACGGACACAGCAGCCCGGATCTGTCCCGCAGGTTGGAGTTTGCTCCACCTTCTAGGCCAGGATGACTCTTTCCAACGGAGTTTTACAAATACGACGTATGTGTAAAACACCTGACTAGTACTCTTCAAAAAAGCCCAGGTCATGACAAACAAGAAAAGGCTGAGAAACTGTCCCAGGTCGGAGGAGACTAAGGCGACACGATGACTAAATGTGAAGCAGGATCCTGGGTTTCTGGAACGGAAAAAGGACACTAGGAAGAACCCGGTGAAACCCAGAGGAAGTCTGTGGTTCAACTGATAGCATTGGGCCAAACTTAATTTCTTAGTTTCGATCAATGTATCTTGGTTGCCTAAAAGTGCACACGAGGGAAGCTGGGCAAAGGGTCTGTGTTAACTCTCCATACTACCTTTGCAAATCTAAAATATTTCAAAATCAAAACTATATTTAAAAATGAGGGAATTCCCTGGCAGTCCAGTGGTTAAGACTCCGTGCTTTTACTGCCGGGGCCCGGATTCGATCCCTGGTCAGGAAACTAGGATCCCACATGCCTCGCAGCGCGGCCAAAAAAAAAAAAAAAAAAAAATTCCTGTACCACCTTTCTGCCTCAGCCACCCCTGAGTTGTTTCCACGAGCTGCCCTGTGCCCCACAGCTCTCAAGCCAATGCTCTTGAAGCCAGTCCGGGCCCCGGCTCGTGGGTTGCCTCACGTGCCAGCTGTCCTCTGTGAACCCGCTGTGCTTCGCGACAGTGTAGACAAAAAGGGGCTTTTTTTTTTTTTTTCCAGAAAGATCTGTGTCCTAAAGCCATGGCTGCCCTAGACCCTGGGGTTTTTGGCCTGACCATGTTCTTGAGAGATCTGGATGACAGAGGTTCCCCTGCAGGCAGTGGCTCAAAACTGACTATAATGAATAGACACAGGACACTGGGACTCAACAGTAAGTTGCCACCCTATTCATATGTCATATAACATCCTCTGCTAGCTTAGCTTAAAGGAATATCACACACACACACACACACACACAGGCACACAACCCGAGTTGATGCAACATTCTTCCAGGGCAGTGTGATACTGAGTGTAGGGCCCAAGCTCGCGGGACAGTAAACCCGTCGCGGGGTTCTTTACCGTGTTTCCTGAGCTGCTGATGCCCGAGGCAGGCCTCTCGCCCCCGCCGATAACCATGGGTATTTATCAGTGCCCAGGTGAGAGGCATCAGGCCCCGAAAATCACTCGCCACTGTTGGCAACCCTGCCTTTTTCTCCATAGTTTGAAATCACCAGCTGTGAGTGGGGAAGCTCAATACCAAGGTCGCCCCCATGGAAGGGAACGAGCCATTGTGTTTGGCCCTGCACCCCCTCTTGTTCTCTCCTTATTTGTTGATGGGAAGTCACAAAACACTTCAATGTAAACATGGTATTTATTTTTTTAGATCTTAGTCGTTAAAGCAAGTGGGTTTTTTTCCTTTGGGCGGGGGCGAGTTTAGTTCCAACAACCACGACAAGCTCTTTGCCAGCACTTCAGACGACACACAGCGTGTGCTGTGAAGGGTAGTCCCCACAGCGTGTCTGTCCTGCCGGAGGGAGCAGTGGGCGGTATTGTGGACCCTGGTTCTGATGCAGAGAGAGAGCATCAGGTGTAGGCGCTGTCTAAAGTGCTGGCCGCCACCCAGCTTCTCCTCCGTGTGCATCTGATTGCTTCGGAGATGGACTTCATCCATCCATTCATTCATGAATTCAGCAAAGAGTGAGTGTGCGCCAGCACTGCGGTAGGGCTGGGGGTACAGGGGTGGACAAGACGGGCATGGCCCTTGTCTTCGGGGATCTCTGATTAAACAAACACATAACTATGTCGTTGCAAACTGCGATCATAGAGGAAGAGCCAGGGGCCTATGAGATAGAATATCATGAGGGAAATGTGCTTTAGTTGTGATCAGGGCCGGTCTCTCCAAAGATGAGGCTTGTAAGTTAAGAGACAGTCATGGAAAGAGTGGGGAGAACCTTCCAGACCGAGGGGACAGTGCCACCAAGGCCAGAGCATTCAGTGAACCAGAGGTTTGTGTGGTCAGACCCTAGAGAGGGACGTAGGCTCAAGGTGGGGTCCTCAGGAGTCTAGAACGACCTCTGGCATTCCTTCAGCACTGCCGTTGCATGGTGCTTCCTCTCGAGTCCGAACAGGAATGTTTTCACGTGGGCGATGGGCAGGAGGAATGGAGGGAGGCCAAGTCTTCAAGAAGATGATCTGGCCTTTCTCATTCCTTCACTTTCAAAGAGTCTTGATATGGGACTTCCCTGGTGGTGCAGTGGTTAAGAATCCACCTGCCAATGCAGGGGACACGGGTTCGAGCCCCGGTCCGGGAAGACCCCCACATGCCGCAGAGCAACTAAGCCCGTGCGCCACAACTCCTGAAGCTCGCGCGCCTAGAGCCCGTGCTCTGCAACAAGAGAAGCCACCGCAGTGAGAAGCCCTGCACCACAGCAAAGAGTAGCCCCTGCTCGCCTCAAGTAGAGAAAGCCCGTATGCAGCAACAAAGACCCAATGCAGCCAAAAATAAATACATAAATAAAATTTTAAAAAATTTAATTACAAAACCTTGGAGAAGCTTTTAAAAACAAAACAAAACAAAGAGTCTTGATATGGGGTATGCTGCCGCTCAGAGGCTCCCAGGAAAGACCATAAATAAGTCTTGTGAGGAACCAGCCCTGAAGCTGGTGTGTTCTCTCACGTGACACTGGACAAAGGTGGGAAAGCTCCCAGTGGGTTTCAGCCCCGTAAACCTTAAACCCTGAGTCGGCATCAATACATCCTTCTTAGTTTTCCAGGGATTTCGACATTTTAAAAAGATGTAACCACAATTTTCTCCGTGATCTTGTTGTCCCTTTGTGCACAACCATGTTTAACTACACAGTCCCCTGAGTCGCTGGTGGTATCCCAAAGGCAGCCAGGTGTACAGCGAAGCTTCACCAGAGCTAGCCACTTACCCCTCCCTCAGTGTGCTGTCCGTCACCTCTGCCTTTCACGAGGATAGATGAGAGAATAGCAGTAACTTGTGCCAGATCCTCTAACAGTGACCTCAGTTGAACTCTGTGTGCCCTGGTGCTAAGGCCTAAGATAAAATGTGGCGGGAAGCATGTTTCTTTCCCTTTAGAAGGTTATATTGTAGCGAGGGAAACAGACCTGTCAATAATAATACAGTATTTTGTGATATGACATAGGGGCGTCCAGAGCAGATGGGGCAGGAAGGAGGAGGCGATCAGGGCGGGTGGAGGAGACATTACATAAATGAGGCGCTCTAAGCCCATCTGAGCAGTGCCGGGGAGCAGTGGCAGGAGAGCAGCCCAGAGAAGTCAGTGATCACATTATAGCTGGCCTTGTGTGCTGAATCAGGGAGGTTAGGCTTGATATGAAAGGGAAGGGGGAGAAGTGGATCAAACTTGGATCTCAGAGGCGTAGGGCTGGGTGATGGGCAAGAGGGATTGGCTGGGGAAAGGGCCCACGGCGAGGGGATTGTTATAGTAGTTTGGGGAGAAGTGAAAGATTGCAACAAGAGAAAAGACATTCAGGAAGGATAAATAAGTATACAGACTGAGAGGCAGCTTAAATAGGGTATCAGCCATGATCTTTGGTTTGGAGCAATAGAAATTGGCTCTGGTTAGCTTCAGGGGAAAAGGGACCTTATGTGAAGACTATCAGGTAACTCATAGGCTCAATGGAGCGACTGAAGAAGCAAGCTCTGAAAATGACCAGGAACCAACGGCAGCCAGGATGCCAATGGCGCTGCCACCACTGGGAGCTCAGCGCCTCCGATACTTAGGCTCTCCAAGGGCCACTTCTGCTGGAAGTCATTTCTCCGCTGCCCCTGCACACCCTCAGACATCAAAGTCAAAATCAAAACCACAATGAGATACCGCTTCACCGCCACAAGACTAATATGAAAAAGACAGACGATAACAAGTGTGGGTGAGGATGTGGAGAAACTGGAACCCTTGTACGTTGCTGGTGGGAATGTAAGATGGTGCAGCTGCTTTGGAAAACAGTCTGGCAGTTTTTCAACATGTTAAGTACAGAGTTACCATATGACCCAGCAATTCCCCTGCTGGGTATGTAGCCAAGAGAAATGAAAATATACATCTGCACAAAAACCTGTATACTTATCATCATAGCAACGTTATTCATAATAGCCAAAAAGTGGAAACAACCCAATGTCCATCAATGAATGAATGGATGAACAAAATGTGGTAAATCCATGTAATGGAATATCATTCATCCATAAAAAGAATGAAGTATTAATACATGGGATGAACCTTGAAAATATGCTAAATAAAAGAAGCTAGAGGGCTTCCCTGGTGGCGCAGTGGTTGAAAGTCTGCCTGCCGATGCAGGGGACATGGGTTCGTGCCCCGGTCCAGGAAGATCCCACATGCCGCGGAGCGGCTGGGCCCGTGAGCCATGGCCGCTGAGCCTGCGCGTCCGGAGCCTGTGCTCTGCAACGGGAGGGGCCCCAGCAGTGAGAGGCCTGCGTACCGCCAAAAAAAAAAAAAAAGCTAGGCACAAAAGGACACATATTGTATGATTCCATTTATGTAAAATGTCCAGAATAGGCAAATTCATCGAAACAGGAAATAGACTCTTGGTTGCCTAAGGCTAGGGGGAGAAAGTATGACAGCAAATGGGTAGAGGGTTTCTTTTTCAGATGACAAGAATGTTCTAACATTGATTGTGGTGATGGTTTCACAGCTCTGCGACTATACTAAAAAACACCTTGGGCTTCCCTGGTGGCACAGCGGTTGAGAGTCCGCCTGCCGATGCAGGGGACACGGGTTCGTGCCCCAGTCCGGGAAGATCCCACATGCCACGGAGCGGCTGGGCCCGTGAGCCATGGCCGCTGAGCCTGCGCGTCCGGAGCCTGTGCTCTGCAACAGGAGAGGCCACAACAGCAAGAGGCCCGCGTACCGCAAAACACACACACACACACACACACACACACACACACACACACACCTTAAAAGGGTGAATTTTGGGACTTACCTGGCTGTCCAGTGGTTGGGACTTCGCCTTCCAACGCAGGAAGTGCGGGTTCAGTCCCTGGTTGGGGAGCTGGGATCCCACATACCTTGGGGCCAAAAAAAAAAGGCCAAGACATAAAACAGAAGCAATATTCTGGCGGGTTCAGTGGAGACATTAGAAATGGTCCACATCAAAAAAAAAAAAAAAAAACCAACCAAAAAAAGGGTGAATTTTATGGTATGTTATTTATATCTCAATAAAGCTATTATTTAAAAATAATCGACTGGCAACCCAATTAAAGAAATGGGCAGAAGACCTGAATAGGCGTTTTCTAAAGAAGACGTACAGGTGGCCAACAGGCACATGAAAAGATGCTCAGCATCGCTAATCATCAGGGAAATGCAAATCAAAACCACAAAGAGACATCACCTCACATCTGTCAGAATGGCTGTCATCAAAAAGACCACAAATAACAAATGTTGGCGAAGATGCGGAGAAAAAGGAACCAGTCACTATATTATATTCCTCAAACATATTATATTGTAAATCAACTATACCTCAATAAAAAAGAAAATCAACCTACTAGACCATCCACCTGGGTAAGGTTGGGACCCATGCCCAGGACCTAACCCCCTGGGAAAAAGAGGGACAAGCCACCTCTAGCTTCTGTAGTGGGGGGCAGCCTCCATCCACAAAGGCTCACCCAGAACTAGGAAGGGTATTCAGATGCTGGGCGGCCAAAATGACTGCACACGTGGGAGCGAGAGAAGACATTCGGGCAGCCTCCTGGATTTCTGACCTAAGAGCTCACCAAGCACATTGGTAGATGCATTCCAACTCTGCTCCAGGTCACTGGGTCATGACCGGACTTCTGTGTTTAATCATTCATTGTTGGAAGAGCCTGCGTTACACCGTCTCACCTCTGAACACATCTGTCTCTTGAAGCACTTTATATCCACTATCTCTTTGTTTCTATATGGCCTCAAGTGGCCCAACTTTTAGGCAAGCCAGTGGCTACATGCATGGATATACAACTTGCTAGTCTATTAGTATTTGAGCTGGTGACCATTTTTAGAGCTGTAATTACAGGCAAGAAAAAGTAGGCAGAGAAGCAAATTGGAGTATTTGATTTATCAAAGAAAATTTTTTTAATGGCTCCCCAGTCTATCTGAAATTCATCATCAGGCCCACATTGTGGGGGAGACGTTCCCTACGATAATTCGGGATCCCGTTGGGCTCCACCAGTGGCGTGCTGGTATATATTTACCTGTCCTCTCTGGGTGGGGGAGGGACAGGAGGGTCCTGAGAGCACTCCCACAGGGCTGATTTACAACTCTCCACATCCTGATGACTGTGGAGTGGGGAGCACCGGTCCAGAGACACAGTCAGGAGAGCGGGGCTCTGGCCAGAACTCTGCTAACTGGCTGTGTGACCGGATGGTAGCGTCCCTTTTTTTTTTTTTAATATTTTATTTATTTATTTATTTATTTATGTATGTATGTAGGCTGCACTGGGTCTTAGTTGCAGCACGTGGTTCTTCGTTGTGGCATGTGGCATCTTTGTTGCGGCGTGCAGACTTCTTAGTTGTGGCACGCATGCGGGATCTAGTTCCCTGAACAAGGATCGAACCTGGGCCCCCTGCATTGGGAGCACAGAGTCTTACCCACTGGGCCACCAGGGAAGTCCCAGGAGCATCCTTTTCTGTGAAAGGAGGGAGGCTTCATCCTCCGCAGCTCATCCCTTCTGTTCCTGTCTCCAAGTAAGGGACTGTATTTCATTCTGTGGTTGGAGTGTTCCCTTCATAGTTTTCCCTCTTGGCTGGGCCTTGCTAACGACCTGCTCCCCAAACACCAAAGCACCTCTGTTTATGAAAACAGCGCTCGGTCACAAGTTGCTAGGCAAGGACCAAGGTGCCCAGAAGCGCCAGGGCCGGGCCTGCATTTTCCTCACAATCACCCATCTCCATCTCTGTTCCAGAGTTATCCTTCCCCTCCCCACACCTCGCACCCCATGGTGAATGAGCCTTCATCCCGGAGGAGGAGTGACGTAAGGGTTGAATTTACCAGCCTAGGAAGAGTAGTGTGACTTCAAACCCCAGTGTGGGGCATACTGATGCAAAGATCGTCCAGGTCTGTTATTTAACAAATGCTTTCTGGTATCTAGCAGTTACTGTGTGCCAAGTGCTGTTCTAAATTCTTGACAAATACTGTTTTGTTTTTTGTTATTGTTGTTGTCGGTGGTGGTTTTTTTTTCGGTACGCGGGCCCCTCACTGTCGTGGCTTCTCCCGCTGCGGAGCACAGGCTCCGGACACGCAGGCTCAGCGGCCACGGCTCACGGGCCCAGCCCCTCCGCGGCAGGTGGGATCTTTCCGGACCGGGGCACGAACCCGTGTCCCCTGCATCGGCAGGCGGACTCTCAACCACTGCGCCACCAGGGAAGCCCTGTTGTTGTTTTTAATTGAAGTATAGTTGATTGACAATGTCGCGTTAGTTTCAGATGTACAGCAAAGTGATTCAGTTATACATATATATGTATTCTTTTTCAGATTCTTTTCCCTTATAGGTTATTACAAAATATTGAGTATAGTTCCCTGTGCTATACAGTAGGTACTTGTTGGTTATCTATTTTATATATAGTAGTGTGTATATGTTAATCCCAAACTCCTAATGTATCCCTCCCCCCACTTTCCCTGACAAATACTGTTTTTAATTCACATAACTCTGTGAGGCAGGTCTTATTTTCATCCCCATTTTACAGATGAGGCACAGTTAGGTCAAGACACAAGCCATGACTAAGTAACTCACCTCTGGAACCCCACGATCACTCCTTTAACGTGTCTAAGATTATCACAAACATTCAGAGAGAGCTTGACTTCCAGTCTCTGGTAACTAGTTATTCAGACCAACGCTCAAGCTGAAAGCAACTAAAAATGCTAGAACATATGCTAGAAAACATATTTTAAAAAATCCTAAAAGCCACCACATGCTGACAAGATAGCAAGGAATAGGTGAAACTGAAGGAAAAAGAGAACCCTGACAGCTAATCCAGCAAGGAAGCCACTCGAACCCTGTAGATATTTGCCAAGTCTGGCATATTTGAACTTCAGTGTGAATGGTTTTCTTGAGGCAAGAGGTCGGAAATCAAAGTCCAGGGTCCACACTGGGTGGGAGATGAGACCTTGCCCAGTGGTGTGCTGGTAAATGCTTATCACCAGCCCTTGGTGGGGTTGGGAAAGGGTCCTGATGTATTATAGCATTTGCCAATTTCCATAGCGTAAATGTTCCGCCATGGCTGATTTAGAACTATTGCTAGGAGGCCACTGAACAGAGTTGGGAAGCGCAGGCTTGGCAGTCAGCTGCAGCACATCACTGACCCCACCCTGGGTACAATAAGCAAATCAGTCTCACTCACTTAGGCAACCTATATTGGCATCACCTGGGGGTCCAGGGACCCACGAGCCCTGAACTTGGATGTTGGTCATCCTGCACTAGCAGTGCCCTCAGGAGTCCGGCAGAGCAAATGTAAAGCCACTCGAGAGGAAGGTAACTTCACTCTAGGCCTCAGATTATCCCTATAAATAAATTTTAAAATACAATGTCCAGCAAGGTCAAGGAGAACCAGACAGATCACAAAGAAATAGGACACCATGAGTAAGAACCAGCAGAAACAGACTCTCAGATACTTCAAATATCAGAATGATCAGACACAGACTATAAAACAAGTGTGCTTTGTTGAAAGAAAGAAGTGTAAAACTATCCACAGGGGACAGGAAACTATAAAAAGTGCCGTACTACATTTATAAAGAACATTTGTAGAGAGCCTTATAGTTTAATCGGAGATCAAACACACAAACACCTTCGGGGCCATGTGGTAACACAAATGAGTACAGTGACTGGGTGACACATTGGTGACCTAGTGCGTTCTATCTGAGGGGCACAGGGCTTCTCGGCTCCAGCTGACTGTTGCCGTGTGGCACGTGGGGCCCAGTTTGCAGGTCTTCTGCTATCTCTAGAGAAGCTGGATATTTGGATTTCTTTGTATGGTGGCAAAATACACATAATGTAAAACTGGCCACTGTAACAATTTTAAAGTGTGCGATTCAGCGACAGAAAGCACATTCACAATGTTGTGCAACCATCACCACTACCTACTTTCAGAACTTTTTTTATTACCCCAAAAGGAAAACCTGTACCCATTTGAAGTCACTCCCCATCCCCCCCCCCCCACAGGGAGCGGCTATTAAGATGTCATCGATATCATCATACGTCTGTCTGGCTTTCTGTCTCTAGGGATTTGCCTAGTCTAGATAACTCATATAAGTGGAATCATACAATATGTGTCTTTTTGTGACTGGCTTCTTTTACTTAGGATGTTTTCAAAGTTCATCCATGCCGTGGCGTGTATCAGTACTTTATTCCTTTTTGATGGCTGAATAATATTCTATTGTATAGATATGCCCATTTGTCCATTCATCATTCAGTACTTGGAGTTTTAAATATATGTTCCCATTTTTAATTCAAATATATGCTTTAAAAAGTTCTGTGTAACCTTAAGCATGTATCTGCTGGCCAGGTAAGTCAGAGGGCCAATGGTATGAGACTGCTGTCTTATGACCCACTGTTACATGTTTTCCCATATAATCCTCACGTCAGGAACTTGGGGTTTGGGATGGTAAAAGGACATGCATAGGAAAAGGCCTGCAGTGCAGCTTCCACTCCGTATCGCCAGAAGCTTTTCTCCCCCAAACCAAAACCTCAGGGGAAAGGGCTTGGTTTTAGAATGAGCGGAAGACAAACATCTAGCTCATGGCTGTGTCCTTGAACTTCCCTGGGACTCAGTTTCCCTCCATGTAAAATGACTGATGTTGGGTTAGTTGATCTCCAAGGCACTGGGCTTGCTAACGGGGTCATTCTTTTTCCCCAGCATCCACCTGGGCACGAATTGGCTCTGGTCAAGATAATTTAGCTGCAGCTGAACATAAGGTTGAGGCCCCTGGCTTATCCTGGTAATTGCAGATTCGTGCGGAGCTGTCGTAAGGCACCACGGGGAAGAAACCAGCCCAGAAGTCCTCCTTGTCGCTGGCCAGTCCATTTTACCTGCCAGGGTCATTTGTGAGGTGGCAGCACCTGGGCTGAGCCTGAGACTTACATCAGGAGTGACTTAAATTCAACTCGTGGTTCTCGAACAGAAACCCCAGCGTGGGCTCCCTGACCTTATTTATGGCGAGGGCAACTTATCACTAGGAGGAAAGATCTAAGAGCCCCTGTTGAAATGCTGATAAATAATCATCGAGCTTTTACTGCGCCGAAAGCTCTTTCATAAGCAAGGTCGGATGTCTCTAGTGGTCACCCCAGGCACCTTTCCTCCCACCCTCGTTTTCCAAAAGGACGAAGGATAGGGAAGCGACGTCCTAGCTCGCGTATTTAAACCGGGCAGAGGGTCAGCAGAGGTCCGCGTTTCTCAACTCTTTCCAAGAGCGCCTCGCGTCCCGAATCGGCGCCTTCAACTCGGAGAAGTCGGGAGCCCCACAGGAAACTTCCATTACTGCAGACGCTGCCACACACCCGGGGCAGCGGATGGGCTGCCGCGCTGGCTCCCCAGGAATGCGCTCCCTCCACGGCCGGCCGCCCCGCCGGCCCGCCCTCTCCCGGGGAGCCCCCGGCACCTGCGGCCTCCGAGTAAGTGTCCGCGCGCACGTCCGCCGGCCCGCCTCCCCTCCGCGTGCCCGGAGCCGGGGGTCGCCGGGTACCCCTCGCCGCCTCCCCGGGGAGCGGGGGGTCGCGGACGCCTCCCCCGGGTGGGCGGAGAGGCGCGCGGCGCTGCCCCGCGGCGGCAGCGGCGCCCGGAGGCCGCACTACCGGCGGCCGCGGCGGCGCTGCTCCCCCTGCTCGGTGCAGCTGCCGCCCGGCGCTTGCGCACTGGGCCCTGGGCGCGCGGCGGCACTAGGCTTTGTGTGTGTGTGTGTGTATGTGTGCGAGTGTGTGTGTGTCTGTGTGTGTGTGTGTCTGTGTGTGTGTCTCTGTGTGAGTGAGCGGGCGGGCGGGCGGGCGCGAGTGTGGCCGCCGCGGAGCGCGAGCAGGACCCGGCGGGCGCGCTCCCCCAGCCTCTCTCTCCCCGCCAGAACCATGTCGGGCAGGTCGGTTCGAGCCGAGACCAGGAGCCGGGCCAAAGATGATATCAAGAGGGTCATGGCGGCTATCGAGAAAGTGCGCAAATGGTAAGCGGAGGCGCCGGCTTGTTTTCTCGTTCGGTTGCAGGCTCGCGCCGCGGCCGCCCCGAACCCCGAGACCAGATACAAAAAGCCGGCGGGGCGCAGCGCCCCGGGCCGCCCGCGGGCCCAGGAGTTGGAGAGGGCGGGCGGCGCGCGAGCCGGGTCACCTGCGCGCGGCGGGGGCCGCGGCCGCTGCCCAGGTGCGCTCGCGCCAGTCGCCCACCTGGCGCGGCGGCGGCAGCCTGGAGGCGGCGGGCGCCCCGGGCCGGGCGGTGGAGCGGCGGGCAGTCCCCGGCGCGGCGCTCGGCTCCCGGGAGGGGGGCTCGGGGCCGGCCCCAGAAGCCATTTCGTTTTGTGCAAGTCACATGAAAGCGGCTTCCCGCGCGCCGGGGCCGCGATGCCGGCGGCAGAGGGGAGAGCGCGAGCTCCATTGTGCAGGCACCGAGCGGGCCGCCGCCGCCGTCTCCGTCTCCTACCCGCGCGCCCCGGGCGGCGCAGCGCCGGCCCCCGCGCCCTTGCCCGCGCCGGGCCTCCCTCTCTCCCTCCCTCCCTCCCTCCTCCCCGGCCGGCTGGCTGGCTGGCTCGCTCGCTCCCCGCCTCCCAGGCCCGGCGCCCTCGAGTCTGCGGAGTTTGCAGAGCGCGAGCCGTTTAAATTTAGCGCTTTGGGCTGCCTGGAGCGAGGGCTCTTGGCGAGGAAGAAAGATGGGGGCGAGCGCGAGGAGGAAACGCCGGCGGCGGCCGCGGGGCCCGGGGCTCCGGGCTCCCCCCTCCCGCCCCGCTGTGCCCGGAGCCGGGCGCGGGGGTCTGGGCAAGCGAATGTTGGGGGCCAGACCCCGGTCCTGGGCCGCGTCTGCCTGTCCGAACCCGGCAGCTTGCGTTTGTTTTGCGGAGACAGCCGTTGTTTTTGTTCTCTGCGCGGGGGGCAAGGGGCACTCGGTGTCGGCCGTGCGGTTTCTCCAGCTCACGTGAGATTCCGTCCGGCGTGGCCTGGTTGTAATTAATACGACTGAACGTTTCCCCGGCCTCGTCCGGGTCTGTCTCGGAATCAGCCCGAGGGCCAGGCCCGAGGCGCGAGCCGATCGCCAGGTTGGGGCGGACTTGTTGAAAACTCCCAGCTCCCGGATTTCAACTTTATTATTTTTTTCCCACGGCCTCACCAGGGTCAGGGAGGGAGATGAGCCGCGGCGCCGTTCGAGTGTCAGCGCCCGCGGGCTCGTCCTGACCCTTTATTTAAAGCCTGCAAACCCCCGCAGGCCCCGTGGCGGGCTCTGTTTATGTTTAGGGGTGTCATTTCTTGAGTAACGCCTCGCCTCGGTCCCTCAAAACCACTGGGGGCTAGCCTCCAGTCTAGCCGTGTCACAAGTTAGCTGTCCTTTCTGAGTCAAACCCAACAAAAAAGGCAAGAGGAAAATCAATAAAGTCCACGTGCTCCCGGGCCTCCTATGGAAAGGGCTGTCTGCAGATGGCCGGATGCCCGGCCGAGGGCTGGGTTTGGCTCTAGTGGGACAAAGAATTTTCAGAACCGTGAGAAGGGAAGGCCTTCCAAAGTTGAGATCCAAGTCTTCCCTGCCGTGGGAGCTCCCCTGGTGCGCAGGGCGCCCCGTGCCCGGACTGGAGCCATTTAAAAATGGCAGAAACAGCTGCAGGCCAAAACGCACACGGGAAAACAAGCCCACCACCCCCTCTCCTGCGGGATTCCCAGAGGGAAGGCTGGAGTGGTCCCCTGCCTGAACGCCTGTGCAAAGAAAGAGCTGTTGTCTGGGCCTGAGTCCCTTCTGTCAGCAGCCTGGAGGTGAGAAAGGGGTGGGGGCCAGCTGCCTTTCCGTGCTGCGGGAGGCTTGGCGGGGCCTTGCGCTCCAGGTTCCCAGCCTGGCGGAGGCTCCTGCACCCTGACAGCTGCTCTGCTGGGAGGGCAGATGGAGCTGTGCGGGGTTTTCCACCCTGCCGGCCCCAGAGCAGCCGGCCTGGTGGCCCTCAGTGTTGCTTAGCCCGCTGCCGGCGAGGCCTGTGTTTGGGGGGACGAGAGGAGAACGTGTCTCCCTTCCTTTTTTGTGTCTTGGGAAACTACGAGTCAAGTCCTCTAGAAGACCTCAGGCTTTGGGATCTCATGGCTGGGCTTCCAGTGTGACCTTGGGCTAAGAACATAACTTCTCTAACCACGACAAGAGGTTCCTGTGCTACCTTCTCCCCTTCTGGAATAGCATCATGTCTCGAAAAGCACTTATCCTGCACACAGGAGCAGTCGTTAAATGCGGTCCTTACTGTGGGGTAGAAACTTGCATTTTGCTGATATTTTTTTTCTTTCTTTTTCTTTTTCTCCTGCTCATTCTAAGTAAAAAAAAGCCTTCGCCTTGTTTCCTGGGTTTCCCCAGCCCCGAGAAGCCAAATCTCACCCTCGCTGTGCCTTCAGAATGCGTCTTCCAGTCAGCCCTTGTGGTTTGGGGTTGTTTATTAACTGTGTGGCCACCAACCGTGCATTTCACCACTGGCTGGGACACTGGGTTGCCAGATTTAGCAAATAAAATTATGGGACACCCAGTTAAATTTGAATTTCAGATAAACAAAGAAATAATATTTTTAAATACTTCCTTTTTTTTTTTAGTGTAAGTATGTCCCATGCACTCATTGAGACATGCTTAACACTAAAAAAATTATTCGTCATTTATCTGAAATTCCAGTTTAACTCTGCATTCTGTTTTGTTTTGTTTTGTTTTTTTAAATCCAGAATGGAGGTGCCTGGCATACCACTTAGCCTGTAAGCCTAGGGTGGTATTTCTCCTCAGTCCCAGGGACCCCTAAAAATTCCCCCTTCTGGCAGCCCTACCCTTCCCCTGCCCTGGAAAAAGCCAGCAGCCAGCCGTGGCCACCCTGTCGGTAGCTGCCGGCCGTTTCTCCTCTCCTTTCTGTGTCCCAGCAAGGAAGGTTGGTGGAGTGAGAGGCAGCTAGAACAAGAAGGAAGAACGAAATGGTGGGCTCCTTTTGGGGAAGCTGGGGCAGGGTTAGGAGGCCCTGTGTGGGCGGAGAAAAGCAGGGCAGGGGGAGTCTCTGGGCGGGAGGCAAAGCCTTGAGCCTCGAAGTAGGCTTAGGCCTGGGACCCCTGGATCCGTGGTCTGAAGTGTCCCTCGGTGGCTTGTGAAGACAGAGGCCTGTTCCCCGAGACTTCCCGCCTGTCTCTGGGGGCGGGGGGAGGTTTGACTGTGCCTAAACCCTCACCTTGGTACTTCCAGGGGCACCCTTCTACCAGGCACAGGGCAGGTCAAGCGGGCCTGGGCCTAGTTAGGATGAGGCCAGCTGTAGCCAGGCCTCCTGCAGCATCAAGGACTAGCCCTGAGAAGTGGATCGGAAGTGAGGGGTTCGGAGCCCTCTTTGAGGGAGTCAGGTCACCCTGGCTGGCTAGCCCTTCCTTGGACCTGACCTTGGGGGAACATTAGAAATTGCCCTCGGCCTAGAGAATCTGGGGAGAAGGGTGTGCACAGTTTACACAGGAGCCTGTGCTGGGGAGGAGCGTTTGAGGCTCTATTCCTACAGCTGGGACCTCATTTGCTTCTTTTGTCCAGGAGCCCAAGCCTGGTGGGGAAGAGAGAGGCACTTAAGCCTGGCTGGTTACCAGGGGCCAGCAAGGCAGGAGGGCTCAGGCCGTGCCCAGGGCAGCTTCGTGGCAAGGTTGGGCTGCGGCCTGGTGGTTGTGGTGAATCCGAGCCCAGTGCCTGCAGGTGGCGAGACCTGGGGGATCCGAGGGAGCCCCAGGGCCCCATCTGGAGAGAGTCAGTGCTCCTCGGGGCATGTGGGCCCCTCGTGGCCAGGACGTGTTTTTGAGAGTGGCCAGGAATCTGCATCTTAATGTGGGGTCTGGCTTCTTTTTTTTTTTTTTAAGTCTGGTAATTGATTCAAATTTTTAAAAGTACCGTGCGGGCCAGACAAAACACGCCCGTTGGCTACTTGTTTGCCACTGCGGATGTAATTAAGTACAGCTTAATACCTTCCTTTGGGCTTGGGGGGCTGTGTGTTCTAGGGTGATGGATTTGGAGGTGGTAGTGGGAACTCTCAGCTGCTCTCTGGAGTCCCTGTGTCATTTCCCGAGGCGCTGCCAGGCCGCTGGCTTGATGACACACCCTGCGCTCCCTGGATGTGTCTCCGAAGTACCGGCTACTCACTCAGTGACTCGCCCCTGAGCTCTGGGGCCTGTGTCTCCCTGGGTGGCTGCTGGCCGGATACCAGGCTGAGGTCGGGTTCTCAATGCTCTTCCCTCTGTCCCATGGCCCCTCAATGCCCACACCTAGAAATGCAACTGGAGAACGGTTTCTAATCCCTGGGGTGAGTTGGGAACTCGGACCGAGGGAGGCACCAGAACCTAGCTGTGTTCAGGTCCGAACCTGCAGGGCCTGTAACCTCTCTGGGAAGCTACCTGCCACTTGATACATTCCTCTTGGCTCAGGTGTGGGCTGCGAAGCCCAGATCTGGCATACTTTCTGCCCTGAGAGGTGTCCTGTGTATGGCAAGTCAATTACTTTTTTTTTTTTTTAACACAATCAAGCCTTGGATTTGCTGACCTACTGGGGCCCGGGCCAAAGAAGCCAGTTGAGGGGCTTGTGAGTAATGAGTGCCTTTGGCCATTTGCATAGGATTTGGGCGATTTGTCCAGCTTTTGTCACCGATGTGCTCTGTGGAGTCATTTCTTAGTAGTTTTTCATGGGAGACAGAATAGCAGGGGTCAGAGCCCGTGTCCAGTCCTGGTTCTGCCATTGACTAGCTGTGTGACCGTGAGCTACTGGTATAACTTCTCTGGGCCTCCCATTTCCCCATCTATAAAGTGGGGTGACAGTAGTCTCCCTCTCACAGGTCTGTTGGCAATTGTCGGGAGAGAGGGCGTGTAAGTAAAGTGCTTGGCACGGAAGCCCTCAGCGCACAATGGCCATTAGGATTGTTGCTTTGTCACCAAGGTTGTTTCTTGGAATGTCTCTGTCCCTTCCAGGTACCTGCTGATTATTCAGCATGAAGGTGGGGAAAGACTGGGGTTGTGGATCGTCCATCCTGCCTCTGAGAGGCTGGGGACAGGTGGGTGGTGACTTAGGTGCCTGACTTTGTTTAATTCTCTCAGGGCTAAACGGGGCAGGGATGGGGCAGGGGAGGTTACTCCAAAAAGCAGTGCGGCATGGAGCTTTGAACACCGGCTCTGGGGAGAATGACTCCACCTCCCCCTGCCTCAGTTTCTTTATCTGTCAGACAGGAAAGGTGACAGTTACTGCCACGAGAGGTTATGGGATGATTAGAGTGTGTACAGTGCTTAGCACACAGAAGGCACTAGAAATGGTCATAGTAGAATAAGGAAAAGCCAGGCCCTCGCTTCCGCCAGCCGGGGGCTTTGGGACCCGCACAGGCACAGTTTGGGGTATGGAAGTGTCCGTGGTTTGGCTCAGCTGGTTTTGAGTGTGCTTGGGCACCCGGAACCCCCAGTGGTGAAGGGGTGCCAGGTGGCGGTAACGTGTCCCACCAGCTTGGGAGGGCTACTTGCCCATGGAGGAGAGGACCCAAGGCCAAGGTCTTGGTGGGGAGGCTGGACGAGGTGCCCGCAGCCACACGTAATTCTCGGCTCTGGTGGACCCCGTGTCGCTAACATTGCTGAGGGCTCCCGGCCGCTATGCCACCTACAGCAGGTGTACGTCTGGCTGTCCCATCAGTCGTGGACTCCAGAGCCCAGCTCCCTGGTTGAAACCCCAGCTTTCCTTCTGAGGGGGGCTCTCCCTTAGCCGTGGTGTCCTCAGGCACGCGGCCTCTGGCTGTCACTCCTAGTGTTAGGGGCAGGAGGTGACAGGACCTGACTCGTAGGCTGCCAGAGGTCGAGGACCGAAGTTGGGAGGCTGGGGTGATATAGCTAGAGAAGGACGATGCTCGAAGCAGAGAGGTAGGAGGAGAGAGTGGTAATTACCATCATTACCCTTAGTGGAAAGCAGTCACCCCCTTTCCTTCTCGTGGCGTGTGATTTGCTTCTCACCATCAACCTGCCTTTGGCAGCTGGGGGCCCCTGGGCACTGTGCCCCAGGAGTTTAGGATGCGGCTGGGGGTGGATCGGAGGCAGCTGTGCAGACGTTAGGAGCTGAGACCCTGGAACTGAAGCCTGTCTCCGAACCGACGTATAGGGTCTCAGGGCAGGCAACCTCACGGCCGTGGCTGCCCGCAGACGGGGCTGTGCTTCCCTGTCGCAGCCCCTCGGTTTCAGCATTTGGGGACTGCCCTCGGGGCCGAGGCCACTGGGCATCCAGGTTCCCCCCTGCTCTCCATTCCCCGGGGCTGATCTAACTGGCGTTTGCCCGGAAGAGCCTGGGGTGGTTACTCATGCTGTCAGCTCCTGCTTCCCTTCCCACGACCTCGGAGGCAGGGTGCAGGGTGAGCCCCTGGGTGCCCTTGGGGAAGACCCTCCCACCCCCACGGAGGAAATGCCCTGTTGGTCTGAAGCCCTCTCTGCTGCCCAGAGGGTCTCGGGTGGCCCAGTTCGCCGGCTCTGGGGGGTGAAGGCTGGAGGAACCGGGGCTGATTCCCTCCATCCAGAGGAATCATCCCAGTGGCAGCCCTGCCCTCCCCTCCGGTCTCACGAGGCACTCTTCCAGGCACAGGAAGCAGTCGACATGCGACATGCTTTGTCTCACTCGCGGCAGCCTGGAGAGATTGACGACCCCATGTGGTCTAGCAGATGGGGAAACTGAGGCTCAGGCTGGCGAAGTGACTTGCCCAGGGGCCCCCAGCCAGCGAGCGGCAGAGCTGGGATTCAAGCCCTCGTCTGTGTGATCCGGAGATGTCCTCTCAGCCCTGCCTGGAGCTGTCACCGCGTCACAGCTGCTCCAAGGGAGTGCGGCCTGTGCCCCCCGCCGGCGTGAGCAAGGGCCTGCCCCCGAAGCCCCCTGGTAATGGGTTCTTCCTCATCCTCTGCAGGGAGAAGAAGTGGGTGACTGTGGGTGACACATCCCTGCGAATCTACAAGTGGGTCCCTGTGACGGAGCCAAAGGTTGACGATGTGAGTATGTGGGGCCGGTCCCCTGGGGTGGGGCTGTCCATCCACACTCCCTCCCATCACAGGGAGAGGGGGCTGTCCACTGCCACCCACCATGCGGGGACCCTGGGGCCAAGGCCACTTGGGCAGCAGAAGGACCCAGCTTAGGGCTGGAGAGGCTGCTGAACCTGTGTCTACCCCTCCCCCCATCATCCAGCCCCAGAGTTTGGCCCTCAGAGAGGTGGGGAATGTCCCCTGTAAGTCACCTCTTCAGGGCTGACAGCCCCATGGTTTGCCAGTGGGCACACTGCTTACTGCAGAGTTATCCTCTCCCTGAGGCCCTGGGCACCATGGCTTTGCGGTGGGCTTGGCGGTACCTGCAGACGGGTACCTCCCCCATCGTTGTGGTGTCATTCCTGGCACCTGACCATCTGCCAGGCACTACTTTGTGGAGTGAGCTCTTCATCCACTCTGGACAAGGGACGACACAGGCTCAGAGAGGCAAAGCCGTTTCCCCAGAGCCACACAGCAAATATCAGGTCTTTTGACTCCAAAGCATATACTCTCCCCTCTTGGAGAGCCTTCTGGTGGTTGGAGCTGCTGGTGAAGGGTGACCCCAGCGTGAAAGTTTGGTGCGGAGAAGCAGGGGCCATTGACAGGGGAGGGTTCCAGGAGGGGCGGCGACTATGACCGCTAGAGGAAGGCCTCGTGGCTGTGCTTGATCTCAGGGAGGCATTGATGACAGACCTGCCCCGCATCACAGATAGTGTTTAGCTTGGTGGGTCCCAGGCCAATTACCCTCAAAGACCCCCAGGTCAGCTGCTCTCATTTCCAGTCAAAATCCAGAATGGTCCCACTGACAGGCCTTTGCACGGGCTGTTCGTCCTGCCTGAGTGCCTTCCCTACTATGCAAGGATGGCTCAGTTCACACTGACCACATGCCTCCAGTCGTGACAGTGGGCATGATTGGTAGGTTTCTAGGGGCCATAAAGCGGGGCAGAGACTTCCCTGGCGGTCCAGTGGTTAAGATTCCACAGTACCACTGCAGAGGGCACGGGTTCAATCCCTGGTCAGGGAACTAAGATCCTGCCTGCCGTGTGGCGTGGCCAAGAATAAAAAAAGAACCGCGGGATAAAGCCTCCCTCCACAGTCTCCAGTGACCTGCCTCACGAGTCGTGGGTCTCCTGGCAGGGCTGAGGCTCCATTCTTGACCCTTTGATCACATGCAGCCCCTGGGTGGGTCGGTGCTGGGCTGAGAACGTGGGGGCTTGTCATCCCCTCTGGTCCTCGCCTGGGCTGGTTCGTGGAGCCACCAGGGCTGCTTTCCCCAGAGGCACCGACATAGACTGTCCTGGCCTTTGGTGCCGGCCGTTCCGGAGGGAGAGCAGAGTGCAGCCAGCCTCCTCGAAGGCAGCTCCTGGCTCTTGCCCACGTCTGCGCCTTGCACATCATTAGGTGTTGTATAAACGCCGGTTGCGTTTGAGAAGATGTGGTCCCTGCTCTCAAGGAATTTATAATCTTGTTGGGGGAAGATAATTATAGAATAGCATGAAACAGACATCAGGGAAGTGCCAAGTGGATTGTGACGAAGGAGAGAATGTAATATATGGGCTGTCAGGAAGGACAGGGCAGCCTGGGGCTGGGCAAAGACCTCAAGATTTGGATTTGGACAGACTACCCCCAATTAACCTGTGATGCCAGACGGGTGACCCCACCTTGCTGGGTTAGTTCCCTCTTTTGTGCTGTAGAACAGTAACATCCAGCTCCTGGGGTTTCTGCAACAGAGCAAAGGCAGTATATCATATGGGAAGAATTTAGCTCAGCACAGCTGTGCAGACAGTGCTCGGATGCTAATTCGCTGTCATCTCTGAGCCAAGATGTACAATACTCCTCCCCCCTTTCTCTAGGGTGGTGGGTCCCGCGCCTGGCTGAGCCTTAGATCCCCTGGGAGTCTCAACAAAATGCAGGTTCCTGGGCCTCACCCTGGATAGCTGGATCCGAATCGCTGATGGTTGTGGCCGGTAATCTTCAGTGGGAAGGGATAGCTTTCCATGTTTTTGGTTTTGGTTGGTTTATCTTTGGCCGCGCGGCATGTGGGATCTTAGTTCCCTGACCAGGGATCAAACCCACGTCCCCTGCATTGGAAGCGTGGAGCCTTAACTACCTGACTGCCAACAGAAGTCCCTCTTTTCTTGTTTTCAAACACCCAGTAATGACGTGGTTACATCATTTTTTTTTTTCTTCAGAACTCTTGAAAATTGTCTTCTCTTAAATAGGTAAAACACGTTACAAAATTCAATTGTTACTTTAAAACTCTTTTTTAAAACTAAAACGATTCACATGCCATAAAATTCACTCTTTTAAAGTGTGCCAGTCAGTGTTGGTATATTTACAGTTGTGCAACCATCACCGCTATAATTCCAGAACATTTTCATTACCCCGAAAACAAAACGCATACCCTCCCCAAGATCCTGGAAACCACCAGTCTACTTTCTGTTTCTATAGGTTTGCATATTCTTCAAATGTGACTTTTTTTTTTACAGTCTTATCTTTTTATACATCTGCTTCCCATCCCGGCTGAACACCTCCAGCCCCATCCAGCTCTTTTCCTTGGAGACAACCAGTATTTGTTTATCCTTCCAGAGAGCTTGTGCACGCAAAAATACAAACACACGCTCATTTATGCTCTTCCTTTACCACCAGTGGCAGCATCCTGTTCACGTGTTCTGCACCTTTCTTTAATACATCTTGGAGATACTGAAATATTTTAATATGTGAATATTTCTGCGGATCCTTCCATATTAGTACAGGAAGAGCTTGTACTTGGACTCTGTGATTGTCACATCCCACTGCGTTGAATGAATGTACTGTAATGTGTTTAACAAGTCTTTTACCAATGGACACAGTTAGGTTGTTTCCACACAATTCCATTCCATCCGTAAAAAATGGAACCATGTACAAAAACATCCCCTTGACCTTTCCCTCCTCCCCTGGGCTTTCCCTCCTCACCTGGTCCCCAGTGTCGGGCCGGAAGTCAGCTGACTGTCTTTGAGGAAGGCAGTCCCAGGGGCCTGAAGATGGTGGAAATGTGTGAGCTGTCTTTTCCATCCCTTACCTGGCATCCCTGTACTGTACCTGCTTCGGGCAGGGTGACCATGGCCTTTTCCCCAGAGGAAATTCCCGCCAGCCAGCGTGTTTGCATACCTGCGGGGCTGGCCCCAGAAGCAAGGCAGCCTTACCCCCAGCCTCCCAGCGTAGCCCCGGAAGCCTCCCCTCCACAGGGCTCCTTGATTCCAAAGCAGGTGAGGCTCCTCCTGGGACGTGTTCAAATGCGGGCCAGTGGAGCCCTCCAGAGCCCTGGGGGCTCCAGGATGAGTCAGCGGAATAAAATACTCATCTCGCTCCCCAGGGTCTCACTCACGCGTGCACACACACACACACAATTTGATGACTCGGTTTCTGCATCATTTTTCTCCTCCAGAAAAACAAGAACAAGAAAAAGGGCAAAGATGAGAAGTGTGGCTCAGAGGTGACCACCCCGGAGAACAGCTCCTCCCCGGGAATGATGGACATGCACGGTGAGCTCCCCCGCAGCCAGCCAGCCAGCCGGGCCCCTCTCCTGCCCGCAGCACTTGGTTGTGTTTTTGTTTTACCAGCAGGTTTGTTCACATTCCAGTCGAGGGGTAGGAGGGCTGGGCAGGACCGGGAGGCTTCTGTGCCAAGGAGGAGGCTCAGCAGAGGAGAAGAAGCTGCTTTTCCCAGAGCAGCAAAGCCAAGAGTCATAAAATGAGCCAGAGACATTAAATAAGACCTTCTCACCCAGTGACACAAATGTCACAGGACGTGTTCTGTTAGCCCCATGTGCCCAGGAAGTTTTTTGGGGGAATCTTATCTTTTTCCCTCCTGGGCCTGACATATCATATCAATGATTCTTATTTCCTATTTCGCTTGGGCTACTGGGAAGCTCTAACTGGATTTCTGACTTCATGTGAATCAGTCTGGGGCCCTAGGACCTTCCCTTCTACATCGACTGCCTAACTTCCTTTGCTGTCTCGTTTCAAAAGTTGTAACCAGTGTCCCACTGATCAGATCCAGGCTGTTGACATGCTTTAGCCAGTCTGCAGTTGTTTTGATGCTGCTGGTGGGGTTTTTTTTACCTTTTTATCTGAGAGGAAAGGCACAAATCGTCAGTGTGTGGCTCCATGAGATGTTCACAAACTGCACACACCTTTGTCACCAGCCCAAATCAGGACAGAATGTTCCCGGCAATCCCCGTGTTGTCCCCTCCCGGTCATTCCCCAACCCACCATGGAAAACCACTACCTGACTTCTAACCTCAGAGAGTTGAACCAGAAGTTTCTAAAAAATTGAGTTTCTGATATTTATAAATCAGAAAATTTGCATTTCTCCCATCCTTTGAGAAATCAGATCTGCCAGCCCTTGGGCGTGTTCTTCCCCAAGGCCGCAGCCCGCTGCAACAGGAGCAGCTGCCCCTGCGGGGAGAGCGTGGCCTCTCCAGGCCCACCAGGCTCGCCTCCTGTTCCGTCCCCAGCCTGGCCCTGCCGGTCCAGGAGCTCCCAGCACTTGCCTTCCTCTGTCTTGATCCCAGCTTTAGTGTCTTTGTGCTTCTGACCACTCGAGCCTTTTTGCGCAGCAAGGTGATGTTAAATGAATACCCAAGTAGGTCAGGAGGGAGCGCTGGTTGCATCTAGTGTGTAGCCCTCCAGATCCGGGCGTCTTACTCTGGGGGGAGGGAGGCCAGCAGACTTCCCCATTTGCCCAAACTGACTAGTGTGGAAAACAGTCACAAGCTCCAAGGGCAAGGAGTCTTGCTTGTTGCTGAATTGGCTTCAGAGAAGCACAGGGGGGGTGTTCGCTGACAGTTAACGTGTCAAGAAAGTGTCTTACACACACACACGCCAACTGGCCGTATAATTTTAGTCGGGATGCATTTCATTTTCAGAAATAGGTATTTGAGTTGGGACGCACCCTGTCCCTCTGTCACTGGTTAGCATCCCCACTCTCTGGGGACCGAGGAGGCCCCTGGCCTGGCTCAGTTTCAGTTAATTCATAGAATCACAGGTGAGAACCTTTTCGAGCAGAGGGCAGGATCCCACCTGGATTCTAATGTGACTCTCCTAGGATCTACCCATCATGGCGTGATCCTGGGCTAGGTATTGAACACGTAGCCTTGGGGTGGTAATGCCTACTTCCCAAGGTCGTTATGAATATTGAATAAGATAATCCCTTAAAGGCCTTGGCGTTCAGTAGCTAACATTTAAGAGCCGTCGCAGTGTGCCAAGCATCTTGCTCAGCCCGTTTTGGGCATTACCTCATTTAATCCTGGTGATGAGCCACCTTTGTACAGACGGTGAAGCTAAGGCTCGAGGAGGCGAAGTAACTTGCGCAGAGTTAGGAAGTTCATAAAGGCCAGTGCTGGCATCTGCAGTCCTTTTGGAGGAGGCAGAATTCAAGCTCACGGCCACTAGCCCAGAAAAATCTAGAATACTGAGCAACCCAGGTCCCTGACTCAGGAACCATGCTCACCTTCCATTTTAGTACATGTGCAGCCAAGAAAGACCGAGTCCGCCTGCAGGGAGTGAAAGCTCAGGGAAAGCTATGGGCCTGGTTAGAGTTATCTGGAAGGCTACAGGTGGGAGGATGGCCACAGGAGGACATGAAGGGACAGGGCATCTGTCTCCAGGATCCACCTGAGGTCAGCCCAAGCATCAGGGTCACGCCGTTACCAGGTTACCAGGCAAGGCTCAGGGCAGCTGACTTGTTAAACATTAGCACTTACTGTCCTTAATGAGCACGACCTAACGCTGGGACCCAGAGGCTGAGCCTCCGCCTTCCGTGCTTCCAACACACACGGCCATGTATCTTGGCATAGGAAGGAGGCTGAGATTTTCTCAAGAGGTAAATCGAGGGAGTTTATATCTTTTTTTTTTTTAAGTCCCAGAATTCACGAGAGGATGTGTTTGTGTAATGAGCGCCCCAGAGTATACTTAAAATAAGATGCAATTTACCAAGTCAGGGCTGCAGGGCTGCCTGTCGCTTCCTCACCATGTTGAGGTAGAGGAAAGACTCGGGGTTTGGGGCTGGGCAGACCAGCCCGACCCAGGGGCTCTGCTGCTGGGACTCAGTTTCCCCATCTGGGAGGTTGTTGAGATTAAACGAGGTGACTGTAAATGCCCTGGCCTGGTGCCTGGCATGTAGTAGGTGCCCTGGATGTGTCGACGTGCTTCTCGTTTTCTCTCCTCTCCTTCCTTCCCTGTCTGTTTCTTTCTTTCTCTCTCTCTCATTTTTACAAAAATGGCCTTGATCCCAGGTGCACAGCATGGCCCAGGAAAGCAGGGTAACACCACATGGGTATCTGTAGTTTAAAATGATTCTTTGCTCGCTTCTCGGCCTTTCGGCTAAGATCGAGTGTAGTATCTGTTCTTATCAGTTTAATATCTGATACGTCCTCTATCCAAGGACAATATATTGAATGGATTTTTGGAGCAGGCGGTTGGAATAGGAGCTTGCTGTGTGGATGTGTGTCCCCTCCACACATCGACCTGGTATTGCAGTACCCCCAGGAATGGTGCACCCCCTTGGGGAATAACTCAGTATCAAAAGGCAAACTGTGGGGCCTTCCCTGGCGGTCCAGTGGTTAGGACTCAGCACTTTCACTGCTGAGGGCCTGGGTTTGATCCCTGGTCAGAGAACTAAGATCCCACAAGCCTCACGGTGCGGCCAAAAAAATAATAAAATAAAATGACTCTTTGTGCCCAAGAAAGGGTGTCCAGGGCAAGGGGGGGATGTGCCCCAGGATCCCCAGCTTGGCCCCCCAGCTCAACCCCTAATGCCCTTGCCCAGCTAACTTTCTTCCCCTTTTCCTTTTTATTATGAAAAAATGTCATAATAGAGAATAGTAGAGAGAATAGTACGATGAAACCCATGTGCCTACCCACCTAGGTTTTCATAACATTATGCCACATTTGCCTCATCTATTTTTTTGAATGTGTTAAGTTTTTTAATTGAACTACAATTTACAAGTAAAAAAATGCACAGCTCTCGAGTGTAAAATTCAGGGAATTCTGACAATTGTATGCAGCCCATGCTAGAAGATTTTAAAGTACATTTCCCCACATCATGATACTTAAGTCTGTACCTAAACACTTCAGCACGCATCACTGATAAATGACATTTCTATCTACCCACTGTACCATTATCACTCCTAAAAAAATTAATTCCTTACTTTTAAACTCCAGACTGTATTCAGATTCCCCGTTTGTCCCAAAATGTCTCTCAGAGCTGGCACATTCCAAACAGGGTACAGATAAATTCCATACGTCATGCCTAGTTGTGAGGTCTCTTAAATTTCTTTAATCTGTAATACGACAGTAGTCTTCTCTGCTTCTCCTTTTATTTTTTTTTTCTTTAGTTGCGTTGACTTGTTGGAAAGCCTGGGCCGGTTGTCCTGTAGAATATCCACTTTCTGTGGTGAACTTGTTGCCCTTTCTCTGCCTTTTATTTTGTATCAAGTGGAATTGGTCCACAGCTGGATCAGATCTGATGAAACGGTTTGACAATGCTGCCTTGTGGGACCACTTTGGCCTTTGCAGTGCTTCAGAGCCAGGCCCACAAGATGTCTGGTTTCTTCACCCAGAACGAGACCTCACGTGACCCCCAAAGATTTTGTTTTATTTATTTATTTTTGGCCACACTGCGTGGCATGTAGGATCTTAGTTCCCCGACCAGGGATCAAACCCGAACCCATGTTGCCTGCAGTGGGAGCTCGCATTCTTAACCACTGGACTGCCAGGGAAGTCCCCTTTTTTTTTTTTTTTGGCCCAAAGATTTTCAATGTGCCGGGCCACCGTCTGCAGTTGGCTGCCGCTAACACAGGAGTCCCCTCAGTGAGTCGGGGAGAGGGAGCTCAGATGAGCCTCCACCCCGCGCAGGACGTGTGGGGCGGCCCTGGGTGGGCAGCTCAGCGGCCTCAGGAGGAAGACGTGTCTCCTCCCCCAGGAGAGCGTCCTGTAGGGCTGCGGGCAGCAAGGCCGGGGGGACTGAGCCCCCCCCCCCCACGCCTTGAGTCAGCAGCCGCGGCGTTTCATGCTGTGGTTCTGTCCCCCCCACCCCACCCCGTGCAGATGATAACAGCAACCAGAGCTCCATTGCAGACGCCTCCCCCATCAAACAGGAGAACAGCAGCAACTCCAGCCCCGCCCCTGAGCCCACCTCGGCCGCGCCCGGTGACGGCACCGATGCCAAGGCGGATGAGACCCAGGCCGACGGGAAGGAGCTCCCCGGGGCCGAAGGTATGTGCCCTCAGGGGCTGGGCTCAGAGGGGGCCTCTCTCCGGCCAGCCTTCAGCCAGGCAGTTGGAAGGGTCTTTAAGGAGGTCCTGCCAAGTGCCGGCCCCCAGAAGGTGATGGTAGAAGAAAGGTAATGCCTGGAGCTCATATTCTTGAGGGGCAATTAAAAAGAATCATACAATGTAATATTTGGAAAATAAGTGCTTTGGAGAATTATAAAGTAAGAAAGGGCAGTGGGTTAGGGTTGCATTTTAAATAGGATGGTCACGGAAGGCCTCACTGAGAAGCTGACATGAGAGCAAACGAGGCTCAGGTTAGGGGAGGGAGCAAGCCAGGTGGGAGAAGAACATTGGGGGCGGTGCAAAGGCCCTGTGGCAGGAGCGTGCTCAGCGTGGCTGGGGAAGAAGGCATGAGGGTCTCAACAAGCGAGATGAGGTCAGAGAGGAGGCGGGACCTCGAGTGTCGGGGCTCATAGGCCACTTCACAGACCCGGGTCTTTATGCTGAGTGAGACAGGAGCCCTTGGGAGTTTGAATGCCGTGATATGAAGGATCACCTTGGTTGCTGTGATTGAGATCAGGCGATGGGGAGGCCAGGGCGGAGGCAGGGAGACCAGCGAGGGGGCTACTGTAGTTGTCCAGATGGGAGAGGATGGTGGCTGATGAGGTGGTAAGAAGGGGTCTGATTGCGGAGGACGTGTGTATACGTGTACATGTGTATTTATAGCTTGGTTTATTTTGAGGCTTCTGGCTTCTCTCTATTTATTTGTTTAATCCTGAGTCTTCTGTTTATTTGTTTATTTTAATGTTTGTTTATTTGGCTGCACTGGGTCTTTCGTGGCACGTGGGATCTAGTTCCTCAACCAGGGATCGAACCCGGGACCCGTACGTTGGGAGCGCAGAGTCTTAGCCACTGGACCACTGGGGAAGTCCCTCTGGATTCTCTTTAAGTGAAAAATTTTCCAGTATACAGAAAAATTGAACGAATAGTATAATACTCTCCTGTATACCCACCAGCCAAACTCGTCAGTTGTTACTGTTTAATGTTTTGGGGGTTTTGGTTTTTGTTGGAGGGGGGTTGTGGTTTGGTTTGGTTTTTTGTGTTTTTTTGTGTTTTTTTGCTTTGCTTAAAAGTATTTTTTTCTGAGGCCATTTGACATTGAGTTGTAGACCTTATGACGTTTTGTCTCTAAACACTTCAGCATGCATCTTTTAAAAATAAGGACATTCTCTTAGGTAGTCACGATGACCATTATTGCACCTAAGAAATTGAACAGTAGGCCCTGATTGTCTAATATCGAGGTGTGTTTCGGGGGCAGAGGTGAGAGTGTGTTCGATGGGCGGTGTGTGGGCTGTGAGAGAGGGGACTGGAGAGTGACTCTCGGCACCTGGAGGGACGGCCTTGCCCCCACCTGTGATGGGAGAGGTGGAAGGGCTGGGCCAGTGGGGTGTGGAGCGTGGAGGGGCAGGGCCAGGGCCATCTGGAGTGCCTGCAGATGCCCGAGTGCAGAGTTGGGGGTTCCAGGGAGAGGTCCGGGCTGATATGCTCTTACCTGGTGGGGCAAGGCAGCTGGCCTGGAGTCCGGGCTTCCAGATGCTTGGGGAGGGCGTGCATCTCCTTGGGAGAAGGACGTCCTGTGTTGCGGAGTTCATTCACATCCCCTTCCGTTCTGTTCCACACACTTCACCCACGTCAGCCCCATGCAAAACTCCATGCCAGTCCTGGGTGACAGTCAGCTGAGTCCCACTCGTGACTCCCAAGAACTCATGGGCAAGACAAGCACTGAAGCTGAGAATTACAGTCTACAGAGGTCGCAGACAGACTAGATCGAGCATGTGGTGTGCGGGTGTGACCATGGAGCCCAGTGGTGTTTTTATTTTTAATTGGAACTCGATGCCGAAATTTTTTTTTTATTGGAGTAAAATTGCTTTACAATGTTGTGTTAGTTTCTGCTGTACAGTGAAGTGAGTCAGCTATATGTATACCTGTATCCCCTCCTTGGACCTCCTTCCCCCCCATCTAGGTCATCACAGAGCACTGAGCTGAGCTCCCTGTGCTTTACAGCAGGTTGTCGATGCCGAAATCGAAAAGTTGAGCGATTTCACTTAAAATAAGATCGATTTCCAGCCTCTCTTGAAAAGTGGGAAGATCTGGCAATACTGGACCTGCACTTCCATTGAGCAGCAACCAACTAGAGCAGAGATGTGTCTGCCTCTCCAGAGAGGGCCAAGAGGACCTCCATTCACCAGTTACCACACTCCCCACCACACCCTATTGTCTCCCTGACGCTGAGGCCAAAGGCAGTTGCCATGTATTACACCGTGAGATCACTGTTGTTTTCTGTTTTTGTTTGTTTGTTTTTTTGGCTATGTGGCTTGTGGGATCTTAGTTCCCCGGCCAGGGATTGAACCCGGGCACTTGGCAGAGAAAGCGCAGAGTCCTAACCACTGGACCGCCAGGGAATTCCCTGTTTTTCTCATTGTTGATTTAAAAGGAAAGTTAATATGTTTCTTGAACCTTTTTCTCTAGTAGGAGTGGAAAAGTAAAAGGCTGAGAGGCTGGGGGAATGCACATTTCTTTGAGGAAGAAGAGAATATTCCTTTAGATTTTCTTTAGAAAGCTTATTTGTGTCGGAATTAAATATTTGTCTCATTCATGGCACTGCCTGGCCCCTAAGGGGGCTTTTGAGCTCACAGTGAGATGCAGTAAGGAAAGGGAGCCTGGAAGGCTTCCCAGAGGAGGTGCTGTCTGACTTAGTCTTAAAGGATGAGCAGAGATAGGAGGGAACTGAGCAACCCAGGCAGAAGGGACTGCAGGGCAGTGCCTGGGGACCTGCGGGGGAAGATGCCCATGTGCCAGGAGCACCTCTGTGAAGGGGGTGCAGGTAACCCTACACAGGGGAAACAACCATGAATTAGGATGCAGATTGAAGTGCGCCCCCAGCTCTCCAGGGTCGTCCCCTTCCTCAGGGCGGACCACTGCTGAGTCTGTTTTGTAGCCTTCCAGAGACAGTCTGCACCTAGAAGCATCTGTATAAGATGATAACCTTTCTCTTTAGAACGCTTTCGCTTAGCCATCACCATGGAGATAATTCCACGTTAGGACACACGGGTTTGTCTTATTTTCTTTACCAGCCTATCATTGAATGACGTGAATGTGCCATGATTTATTTAAATAGTCCCCGCGTTGGTGGTCATTTGGGTTGTTTCTGTCTTTTTCCTACACCGACAGTGCTGGAGGGAGTCTTGTGTGCACGCCTCTTTGCTTCTTTGCTCAGGTGTGAGTGGGTGTGCAGGACGCGGCCCTGGAAGGGGGCTGTGGAGACGAAGGGCACGCCCTCTGTAGGCCCTGCGGGGTCTTCCTCCAGCGAGCCGGTGGGCGGAACGGCAGAGCAGGGCCTTTCAGCCTGGGCACTGTGGGCATGTGAGGCCGGATGAGTCTTTGCTGTGGGGAGTCCTGTGCGTGGCGGGGTATTAAGAAGCACCCCTGTCACTAGATGCCAGTGGCATGCCCCACCCCCAGTCGTGACACCAAAAATGTTTCTAGATGGGGCCAAATGTCCCCTGGGGGAGCAGGGGACAGAATCGTCCCCAGTTGAGAACTCTGTCCCAGGGACTTTGGCGCCGCCTTCTCCCGTGTACAGCACGTGGGCATCCCCTCTCGTTCCCATGGGGCCCCCTCGCCCAGGCCTGGCGGGGGGAGGTGCTGGGACGGGGCCGTGGACACAGGACAGCTCGTCACATCTGAGCCGACCCTTGCTGGCCGAGTGGCCTCAGGCCAGCGGCATCACCTGCGTGCCTTCCTGCTTCTTTGTTCATAAGATGAGACCAATAAAAGTTGCCTCTCCTCAGGAGGCTGGAAAGGAGGCGGGGCTCGCGGGGGTGGGGCAGCGGGAGGGCGGAGCGATCCTGGGGGAGGTGGGGGCGGGGCCTGCGGGGCCCGGTGCGGACCACTCCTGGCTTCTTGCTTGCTGGGTTTGTTTGTTTGCTTGTTTGTTTTTGCATTGGGAGTCTTAACCACTGGACCGCCAGGAAGTCCCAGTGGCTTCTTACTTTCTGGCCACAGCCTCGTTTCTCCCATGTTTGGGGTGTGCGGCTGCTTTGCCCTAAAGGGTCCAGTAGAGCTCGGCAGCGGGATTACGTCTGGGGTCGGTGCTTCCATAACCTCTCCCTACCATCCACAACCCCACGCCCCATCACAGGTCCAGGTGGGAGCCACACCGGGGTCCCTCCTGGCCGGGCCAGGCCTCTGGGCCGGCACAGTTGCCCAGCTTTGACCAGGCGGGACCGCGCTGGCGGCCAGGCCTGCCTGCCCACAGCCCGGGGCTGCGGAGCTCCTGCGGGAAGGACAAGAGGCGGACCCTCGGGCCTTCCCAGGTTGCGGCCTACTGCCTGCGGGACAGGGCGGGTTGGTCGCCAGCTGTTGACCTTGCTTTGAACTTGTTTACTGCTGAGTGAGTTCAGGGAATGACATAATGTCCAAACTCCCTGGACTAAATTTAGGCCCTCGGAAAATAATTTCCCCTGAGCTGGTTCCAGTGCTGTTGGGTTAAGAGAATCAGGCCGCTGCAGCGAGGCCTGGAACGCTCCGCCAGCTCTAAGGCCAGTTCCCACTGCGCTCTTGGGCCGGTCAAGGGATTAGTGTGACTTTCTGGGTGACCGGCCACCTTCATGATTTCTAAGCCTGCGACGGGGCCCTTACCTTCCTCTCCACTCTGCAAAGCCCACCGGGTAGGGCAGAAAAGGATCTGTAGTCACAGAGAAGGAGGACGATAACAGCTGCAAAGGTTTGTTAAAGCAAACATATATTATGAACTAGAATATAAGATTAACATGGATATTTTCTTTTTTTTAAATTGAGATGAAATTCCCGTAGCATAAAAGGAAGCATTTTAAAGGGAGCAGTTCAGTACCATTTAGCACATTCATAATGTTGTGCAGTCATCACCTCTGTCTAGTTCCAAACTGTTCTCATCACTCTAAAAGGAAACCCTGTACCTTTTGGCTGTCACTCCCCATTCCCCCCAGTCCCTAGCAACCACCAGCCTGGTTTCTGTCTCTGTGGACAGAGACAGAAACATTATCTGGACATTTCATATATATAAAGAGAGTCATGGAATATGTGATTTTTGGCGGACTTCTTTCAGTCAGCATCATGTTTTCAAGGTTCGTCCACATTGTAGCCTGTGTCAGTGCTTCGTTCCTTTTTATGGCTGAATAATATTCCATTGTGTGGATGGACCACATTTTGTTTATCCGTTCATCCGTTAATTGACATTTGGGCTGTTTCCACCTTTTGGCCGTCGTGAATAGTGTCGCTGTATTTGTGTACAGGTGTCAGTTTGAGGACCTGTTTTCAGTTCTTGTGGGTCTATCCTACAAATGGAATTGCTGAGTCGTACAGGAATTCTATTTTTAAATTTTTGAGGAACTGCTGTTACATGGATTTTAAAGGTAAAACTAAAAATATCAAAGATATGGCAGGTTTATGGGGAGTTTGTTTCTCTGCCCTAGATAATCCCTCATTTACTCCCACCTGGGATTATTTTGCTGCTTGGATACTTCTGTCTTTCCATTTAATCCTCACAGCGGCTCAACGGGGCGGCTACTGTCAACCTTGACTTGACGGAGGGTGAGGGATCTGAGACCCAGGAACAAGGGGCAGAGGCAGTATTAGAACCCAGGCCGGTTTCTAGACCCTGTGTCCCCCTCCCCAGACACCAGCTTGTAGGTGTAGCCCAGGGGCCTCAGTGAGGTGGACCCCTGACCCTCCCCGTGGTGGCAGGAGAACCCAGCTCAGACCCTGGCGGGGTGTCGGGTTTCCTGGCACTGCCCTGAGCGATCAGGACTGCTGGTTTAGGGGAAGTGAGAGCGTGTGTTAACCGAAGCTCCCCTGGGCTCCCCTGGGATGGATGGGCTGAGGGTCAGCCTCCTTGGGAGGAGGGCTGCAGCTCCTTCCCGCCCTGTCCCCAGCCCTGGAGTGCTGCCTGCTTTCCCCCATTTCCCCATGTTGCTTGCCTGCTTTAGAACTTAAGCCTGGAATTTTTTTTCCCCTTTGTTATGCCTCTGCCTCAGAAACCCCAGAAAGTGAGGCGTTCTTGAGTATTTTAGTGCACTCTTTACACATTAGGGTGACATATGTTGTTGGTGTCTCGAATGCAAGCAGAGCTGAGCCCTGGGCGTGATGTGGCTGCTCCCTCCCTGCGCTCTGTGCCCAAAATAAGCTTCAGGTACGACCGCTGTTCCCCCTTCTTCCAAAGCCGCGTCACCTCACACAACCCGCTAAGGCCTGCACCTTCCTTCTGCTGAAGGAACATGGTGGGGGGAGCAGGGAGACCGATGCATGAGAAACAGCTCAAATGACTGGCAAAACGTGACTCATTAAATAAGCGATTGCTTGATAGAATGCTGTGTGGCCATCTTGGAGGCTCTTGTATTTACAGAGTTTTTGAGGACATGTATTTTGGAGAAAGTCTTCCAAAATACTATGAGATCCCTAGTTGGGGAGAGTGTAGAACTGTATGCATGTAGGGAGAAAACATCTGGAAAGATGGATCTTCTAAATCCTCTAAAATGTTAGTGGCGTGGTAGCTGTGGATGGCAAGATAGTTGGTGATTTAATTTTTTTCTGTATTTTCTGTTTCTTGCAATGACAATCAGAAAAATATCCATATTATTAAGAGAAATGTTTACAAAGGGGCAAGTTACCTCTGTGGATTCCCCAGCTGGAGAAGGCAGGCTCCCTAAAGGAAGAGGGAGGAGTCAGCAGCCATGATGGTTGGAGCGTGCTGTGTCCACCAGAGGGCGCCAGGTGCACGCAGCACAAAGCATCCTGTAGCATCCTTTAGGTGGCCTCTCAGGGCACTTGGTAGGTAATAGGTGTGCAAGGGGAAGGGTCAGAGGCCGCAGGGCTAGAGTGGGGCCTGGCTGCTTAAAATGAGATCCCTAAGAATAAGCAAGGCACTTTCCAAGCCCCCCAGCCTCCTTGCCGTCCTGACAGACCGCCTGGCCACAAAACTACCCAATTCCAGGTATTTTTAGTAGTTGGTCCATCTGGCTCCGCATCTCCCGTGTCTGAAAACAGCTTCTGTCGTCTTGCTTTTTCCCTCAGATGCTTCTGACGAGCAGAATTCACAGTCTTCAATGGAAAACTCGATGAACAGTTCAGAGCAAGTAGAACGGCAGCCATCTGGAGATGTGGGTCTGGCCGCAGAGACATCCACAATCTCTCAGGTACCTCGGTCGAGGTCTCAGAGGGGCAGCCAGATCGGCCAGGAGCCCGCTGGGGTGTCGGGGGTACGTCAAAAGGCGTTTTGCTGTTCTGTTGCGTTGTTTGCTCTTTGGACGATTGGAACTGTCTGGTACTCATTGAGCAGGATGTGTGAGCTTCCTTCTGTGTCGGAGCTGGTCACTGGGGCCCATGGAGAACGAGGAGACACACGGGTCTGGCCCTTGGGGTGGGTCCTTTATCCCAGCCTCAGCCTCACCGCTTTGTTTATTCGGGTCCACAAAAGCACTGCCCGGTCTCAGTGACCCAAAGTCAACTTCCCTTAGAGCTGGGAAGATAAGACTTCAAAATCCTAAACGCCCGATGAATCATCCTTTGGAATTTCGCGGCCGACAACACTCCCCCTGCTCGGACCCCTTTCTGGGTCATCGCTGTTTGCCACAATCTGGTCTGAATCAGACAGTGCAGACTCAGGTGGCTTTGTGGACAGGAGGAAATGTCCCGGGTTCGAATCCCAGATTCTTCACTTGGCACACATGAGCCTCAGTATCTCCAGCTGCTAAAATGGGATCACGGAACTGTCTTGGGGCCAGGGTGCGGGCGAGAGGAGAGAATGTGGCTAACACACTTAACACAGAGCTGCGCGCACGAGATGCACCCGTGTTGCCTCGGCCTCCATGGTGATTTTTTTACCATCAGCCCTCTGTGCTTATCTAAGAGGTCTGAGGACTCAGGTATCAAAACTTCAACTAATAAGACTGTTTCCACTTTGCTGAGTATTTTCATACCTGGGGAGAAATTGACAAGTAGCAGAAAGAAGTCTATACTTCTGTCTGTCTGTACTCTGGGGAGCCTTCAAGCAGGCCTTCCGCAAAGGAAAGTGCCTCTCAGATTTTCACATCGCCAACCCTTGGATCTGCAGCCCCCGTTAAGCCCATAGAACACCCTTCCAAAGGCCCAAAGACCCAGAGGTGGTGTCGATGAAAGATGTCTTTGCAGTGGCAGAAAATCGGCCACAACCTAAGTGTATTGGAAGGATTCAATAAATCTGGGGTCATGGATAAAACAGCCTGCTATGCAGCTGTTAAAAAGAGTGTGTTGACCCAGGTACAGATAGAGAACAAAGAAATATTCTCACAATGTGAAGTGAAAAACACAAGGCAGAGCCTCGAGCATAGCACGAGCCCATTTGATTAAAACTACGATACAAGTCGAAGCCTCATGTAGATAGATCTGGTAAAACCAAGAAGCAGCTGGGGTCTCCCGGCCTCTTGAACTCAGTGGAGGAAGGATAGCTTGAAACCTTGATCCACACCCTGGGGGCACGTAACGCTCTCCACTGACATCTGAAAAGTCCAGGGGTCTTGCATTCTAACACGCCTCCCCCACTCCCATTTCCGGGGACCCAGACCTGAAATGGGATCTCTTCTGCCGTTTTCATGCTCACATAGACATGCCACCTGTCTCCAGAGCTGCGAGGTTTGTGAGCAAGGCGACGGGTGCGCCGCCCTAAGGCAAACAGCTTGGCATTGGCGTGCAGCCATTCCTGCTGAAAAAAGAACAAAGCCTCCCCGTCCCCTTTCTCAGCCCCTCCCTCCTGCCCTCTCCCTTACGCAGGACAGTTGTCTTGTCTCCAGAGTCCACTCCCAAACTCACATACTGTCCCCCACCGCGCCCCCCATGCAAGTGCTCTGCAGACACTTCACCCGAACGGGATCCACCTTCCCCGGAAGGCACGAGCTTTTAGCACTTTCATAAGGAAAAGGGAGGGGTGCCTCCCTGCCGTACCTGCTCTCAGGGTTTTCCTCAAGAAACTCATACACATCCTACATCAAGGCCCAGGGCTCTCTGTTTCACATTTATTGGGTACCCACTGTGTGTCGGGCAGTAAGCTGGGTACGAGGTAGCCCGGGTGAGCCAGCAGACATGGTCCCCCAGCCCTCGCGGGGCTCACGATGGGGTTGGCGGGTGTGGGGGGGGCGAGACACAGCTGGGAGACAGCAGACACAGGTGGGCCACGGTTCATGCCGCAGGAGGACGGGAGTGGGTCAGTGAGGAGATGCTTAATAGGAGCAGAGTGCCCTCCTGGATGGCGTAAGCGGGGGGCAGTGGAGGGCTGAGAAGTTAGGGAGGCGAGGGCAGGCTTTCTAGGCAGAGGGGACCGAGGGTGCACAGGCCCGGAGACAGGAGCCGTCCTGAGGAGCGGAAGGGGAGGCTGGACGAGGAGGGCGGGACGGAGGGGAGAGTGGGAGGCCGCCTCTGCCTGGCGAGGAGCTGGGCTTCTGTTCTGAGGCCAGTGGGACAGCAGTCTATGTAGAATCCCTACTTTGAGAAGCTCTCTTGGGCTCTGCTCAAGGCCGGGTAGGGCGGCCGTGGAGCGGCTGCTGCACCAGCCAGATGAGGGTTGGAGGCTCATGTGTGGACAGGGTGGCAGGCAGAGGGCAGAGGGGGTGGACCAAGGGTCTCTGGAGTTGGAGTTGGGCATGCGGGCATGGAGAGGAGGGAGGGCTCCAGGGTCCACTGTATCCCAGGCAGACAGTGGTGCTGTCGCCAGCTGTGGGAGCACCGGTTAGGACGGGCAAAGTCAGGAGCTGGATTCGGGTGGTGGGTCAGGTTGGAGCTGCCTGGGATGGTGGCGTGAGAAGGTCGAGGGAGAGGCAGACGAGTGAGCGTTGAACTTTTTTTTTTTTTTTGCGGTACACGGGCCTCTCACTGTTGTGGCCTCTCCCGTTGCGGAGCACAGGCTCCGGACGCGCAGGCTCAGCGGCCATGGCTCACGGGCCCAGCCGCTCCGTGGCATGTGGGATCCTCCGGGACCGGGGCATGAACCCACGTCCCCTGCATCGGCAGGCGGACTCTCAACCACTGCGCCACCAGGGAAGCCCTGAACTTTCTGTTTTTTGAGTCCCGGGACTTCTTGGGAATTTGGTGGCAACGATGGACCCTTCCCCCAGAATAACAGACTTGTGTACATTCCACAGTGCTGAGTGTCTGCCCCGGGCCGGGCACCTGTGCTGAGCCCTGGATGAGCAGTTGTTAACACGGCCAGATTGGTCTAGCCTTCGAGCTTGCAGAGGTAAACCTGAAACTGCGGATATAATTACCCTGCAGCTAATGAGAGATTGGAAGACATGAGTGACATGGGCTTGGTGGACACAGGAGCAGCTTGGGTGTGAGGCTCCCCGTGGGTCCACGAACCTTTTTAAGTCCACGAAAGGGTCACAGGGTCAGAACCACGGACACCCGCCCTTGGGTCCTTCCTGGGCTGATCTGCAACCTCCCGGCTGACCTGAGTCGCTTTCCTGGGGTCTCAACCTGTGTTTCTCTTTTCTTCTTCTGCCCGCAAGGACCTGGAAGGAGTGCCACCCTCCAAAAAGATGAAACTGGAGGCGTCGCAACAAAACTCCGAGGAGATGTAGACACCGAGATCAGTCCTCTGATCCACTTCTCACGGGAGATGCATCAGCAGGCCTAATTCTAGAACAACCTCACCCGAGCGGATCCCTGTTGGGTGCGAAGGGAACTACTAACTTTTCAAGTTTACCAAGTGCAAATCCAAGAAAACCTAGAATGGCGTAACTTCTCAGACACTGAAGAACTTCTTGCTGTGAAGCAAAACACTCGAATCTTGAAGTGACTGTCCTGGGGAAGGCGGGGTCGACAGCTCAGGAGCATCTGCACACTGTCTCTGAAGCCAAGATTACATTTGTGTTGCTGCTGTATTTTTTTTTTTTTTTCCATTTCTCTATTTAAGGATGTAAGCTATCTGAGGGTGGTACCGATCAGGAATTCGCTTTTTCATCGGGGCTTTTCACTGTTCAACTGATTCCTTCCACTTTCTTTTTTTGTGCCTTGTGCCCTTGAGGTGACCTCTGGCATGTTTTCCTGGTTGTTTTGCATCTCCCCTTGCAAGTGCCCTCTTGGTTCAGTTCAGGCAGCCATTGCCCCGGTCCTCACATCTCTCCCCTCCCTGCCCCAGGACTTCAGCTGGAGCGGACCAGGCAGGGACAAGGAGAGCCCGAGGCTGCAGAAGAGCAGGACCTCCCCGGCAGCCTGACTTCCCGGTCCAGGGGGCTGAGGGACACACCCTGAGCCCCAGTGGGGGACAGCACCAGCCTCCAGGGTCCGAGGAGTCTCCGATGTCTGGGCACCGTCCCTAAGGGCTTCCGCAGAGCCCTTCGATTGTCCTGGCACCTCCCCCTCTGCTGCCACCACACCGCGTCCTCCCGCACCTCCGAGGACGGACTGGCTTCTGCCGCTGACTGCAGGGGTGTCTCCTTAAGACGATAAAGGGGTGGAGGAGGCTGGGAGCAGACGGGAGGAATAGCTGGTGCTGAACTTTCTCTCATAGGACGTTGCTTGGATTTCAAATCCACAGTCACCTGCTGCCCTCTGCTCGCCGCCCTCCCCCCCAGCTCCACCCGTCCCCACCTGCAGAGGAGGCGAGGTTGCAGTCGGCCAAAATCCAAAATCCGCTTGCTTCTACATACCGTTCCGACTCCCAGAGCCAACAGTTGGATCGTGTCTCATTCCCGGATGCGCCGACGCTCCCAGACGCTGCCACGGGGGAGCGGGCCTTGAGGGTTGGACCTCGAAGGCCAGAAACGAGGCACGGAGGACCTGGAGAGCTTTGCGCTCCTCCAGAAAGGGGCAGCCGGGTCCCTCCCCCGCCTCCATCCCCTGCCTGCACTGGGACAGCTTCATCTCACTAAAATGGAGATGCCCCCCCCCCCCTTGGACAAACTGCCTAATTGTTGGGTTCTGAGGCCTGGTGTGCTCTTAATTCCTACACGGACTCCTCAGACCTTAACCCTTTCCCTGAGCTTTCTTTACTGCACTGGAGTTCCAACTCCCTTTGAGTTGTATGGCGGGGAGGGAGGGTTCGGGGGTTTGTTGGTGGTTTTATTCTTTTTTTCTGTTTGTTTGTTTGTTTTTGTTTTGGCTAATTGGTGCATATTCAGGTACCACCTTGTTCCCATGTGGATTTCTCTCCTGACCACCGTGGAGAGCGTCTGCCAGATTCCATTTCTAAGAGTGTCTGAGGGTGAGGCTCTTGTTTGTTTTTTAAGGGAGCCAATCTATTTCCTGCACTTCAAGAAGAATCAAAATGTTCCTGAATTTCAAATACCTCATGCAAAAATGTCTCCTGAAACAAGGGAAGAAAAAAAAAAAAAAACGAACTTTGAAAATCTTAATGTTGAAGTTAGCGATGCCGAAAGGTTTCTGTCTTAAAAAAAAAAAAATCCTTATCAATTTTGCCCCTCAGGCAGGCAGTTCTGCGGAGAACTGTGTCCTGCGTTACCTCTCAGCATATCTCAAGGCGGCTTTACCTCCAGACCCTATAGAGTTAGAGTTAACTTTTTCCTTTGCAGCAAAACTCCATTTGGATGAAAGATGAATTCGGATATTTATTTCCTCTTCTTTTTTGGGAAACGAGAGGTTACAAGCAAGACAGCTGAAGGAGAATCACACACGCATCCGTGGAAACAGCAGGGTCCTCTCGACAGGCAAGGGGAGTGGACACGGTTAAGGATGAACGAAGAGGACACCCAGGATACGAGGCTGTCATTAGTTTTTCTCTGAAGTGCCTGAAGGTAGGAATGGGCCGGGGGTTGGGACCGACGGGGCCCCTCCACGGCCATGCCAGGCAGAGCGCCAGCGGCCCTGCACTCCATCCACGCCGGCCGGGAAGGCCTTCCACGCGGGATGATGAGACTGCAAAAATCCAGACGTGCTTCCTTCCCCGACGCGGCTCGCTCCTCAGCCGCCGTTCCCCACCCCTCGCCCCCAGTCCCACCACAGAATCTAAGACCTTTCAGCCGGCGAGCCAGAGGCGGGGGTCCTAAGCGAATGCCTTCCGCGGACACCAGGCCCCGCGGCCTAAAGGGCTCCCGGGGCAAACTTACTCCCCGAAAAACTTGAAGTTGGGGATGCTGCAGCTACACATTCCACAAAGTGCTGGCACTTAGCCCCATAACCTGAAGGCGGTAGACCGACTCAGAGGGTGGTGACCTCCCATTACCAACGATGTCATGGTTTGGAATGTTCATTATGAGCCAAGGACCTGCTTAGAGGTATAAAGACCTTTTTTCACTGTTACCTAATTTTTTTTCCTTAAGATTTTTTTTTTTTGGTGTGTTGTACAGCAGTATAATTTTTCACTTATTTATTCCATCAGTAGATATGGTTTGTACAATGTACAATGGTTCCATTTCAGAAAATAAAAACTCAAATCATGAACACGATGCGATTTTTGTAGCATCATGATACAGAGTAAATAAAATCCAGTGGATGATGAGAAGGTCCCCCACCGGCTGGCGTCTCCTGCACGGCCACGTGGCCCTGACTTTGTACACGACTTGCACGCAGGCACTGTGGCCTCCGCCTCCTGTGGTCTGTCGTGATAGCTGCCATCATTAAGCACCAGCTGGATGCTGTGGGCGGGTGTTGTTTGCCATCTTATGCAGACAGCCTCTTGCCGAGTCAGCGCCCCGGTGTAAATTACAGCCACGCTTGGCCCCCCAGCCTGGATCCTGGCCCAGGACACAAGTTTGCTGCGTCCCTGACTTTGGGAGGCTCTGGCCCATGGCAGGGACTCTGAGGTGTCAGTTCACAAGCAGCTTTGTCTTGACTTGTCTTAACTCGTGGTCAGGCTGGAGGCAGAGCTGCCCCAGGGCCCTTCTCCCGCACCCCACCGCCCACCCCCAGCAACTCAGGCCCTTTCTCCCACTCAGCTCAGACTCCCTCCCCCAGTGGACTTTTTCCTTTCTTCTCTGTGCAGTCTCTCCTCTTCCAACTCTCGCACCTGAAACCGGGCCCTGGGGGTGGGACGATTGTTCTAGTGGAGGCCTGTGCTAAGTCACCCATGTTGACCGTTGACCGACCTGCAGGCAAGTGTTCTCTCCTTTTTGTTTTGTCTGACTCTCTTCCCCACCCCATTCCTTTTTAACATGTTCCAGTGTTTTTACCGGGATTGGTTGCTCAGCAAAATAAACTGATACAGAAAGTTCAGCCTGACAAAACACAAATTATAGGGGCCTTGTTTGCTTAACAACAAAGAAAAGTGCCTTAGCGGGCACACTTTTACTCTCTCCGGTGCTCCTGTGCTCTGTTCCCTGGGTCTCGGTCTCTGGATGAAGGTCCCTTCCTTCCAGACTTGTCTCTCTGGATCTCCCCCCTTCGCTCTGCCACTCTTGTCTCTACCCCCGTGGGTCTCTGTCTCAGGCATTCTGCTTTACCTTCTCTGTCTCAGCTCCCTGTCTGTCTCTGTGGAGGTGTCTGACTTCTCATCTCCCTCAAGGAGCGGTTGTGCCCAAGGGCGGGAAATTTAGGCTTTACAGGCCTTCGTTGAGCGCCATCTGTGTATTGGGCCCTGGGCAGCAGTGCCTCAAACTTGACCCTTTCTCTCTAGGCAGTTAAGCTGGTGCATTAGGATGCCCAGCACAGTTTGGAATTGGGGGGGAGGTGCATTTTGATGGCAGGGATCAGGGAGGCTCCTGGGATGGTGAGGAAATCCAGGCATGGAGCTAAGAAGCTCATTTTTCCTTGTGGACGCTAAGGAGTGGTTGGAGGTTTCTGAGCCAGGGCTCTGCTGGACTGGGGGCAGTGTTGCTAGTGAATGGCATGGATTGGAAAAAGCCAGGCTGGAGATGGGGGCAGGGCAGCTATGGAACTGGACAGTAGGTCAAGCAGGAGGTCAGGAGTTGGCAAGAGGGCCCGTGTGCCCACAGGTGATGTGAAGGCAGTCAGCACTGCAGCCAGGTAGGGTGGGGACAGGTTGGGGAGGAGGCAGGCAGAGAAAGCTCTAGTCCAGGTCCAAGACTGGACCAAGATAAGTGTCATAGAAGTCCATGGTTGGGCTGAGGAGGGATTGTAATCCCTAAAGACCAAGTCTACCCCCCCACCTGTCTGGTGAGGAATGCATATTTTCCTCCAGAGGCTCATAGTAGACACTGGTTGTCTTTGCCAGTTGCATTCCCTTCTTCCAGTAGGGGTCCCTCTCACCCACTCTCAGTCCCAAGTCTGGCCAAGTGACCCAGGCCCCTCCCCCTGGCAACAGCAATTGGGTCAAGGATGATCACATGACCTAAAGTGGCCCAATGAGAGTCAGCCCTGGGATTTTTGTGGGAACTGTTGGGAAAGAGTTCTGCTAGAGTGTTGGCTGGAGTTGTTAAATGGAGCCGCTGGGGCCACCTTCGCTCCAAGGTGGGGAGAAGCCTGCCTGAGAATGAAGCCAACACAGGAGAGTGTTGAAAGATGGTGAGTGTGAGCCTCCTGAGAGCAGCATTTGAGCCCTGGGACCCAGCCAGCCCTGAAGCCAGCCCTCCTCCTGCACTTTTCTATTTTGTGAGCCAATAAATGCCCATGATAGTTTAGGTCAGTTTTCACTGGGCCTTTCCCCACCTGAGCCCCCACCCCTCCACCCAAGGGCTTGGAGAGTCTCCTGGACAAATCCAGAAAGAGGGATGGTTGCTAAGATGGTAGCTCTGACTCCTGACTGGGTGTCATTTTCTTGGAGGGAGTGTCTCTTTCCTCCAAACTTTGCCCTTTCAATGCTCCCATATGAGAAGAACTCGGAAGTTTCACAGCTGATGACAAACAAGGAAATAAGCAGAGACTAACATGGACCTGTTTTGGACTTCTGAAGCAGCCCCTTCTAGAATCCTCAGAACTCCAGCACTTCAGAGCTGTGTGACCTCAGGTAAGTATCTTAACCTATCTGGGCCCCAGCTTCCTCATCTGTAAAATGGAAAGAATAATTGTGCCTGCTCAGGTTGCTGTGAGGATTAATACATGTAAATTAATAAGTACATGTAAAGTGCTCAGGACAAGCCCTGGCACATAGTAAATCTCAGTGTTAGCTGCTGTTGTTATTACCATTGTAGTTATTATCCTCAGGCACATCTAGACTCCAGAAACCCAGCTGCTAGAAAATGAAGCACAGGGACAGGCATAATCGCCCACTCCCAGCTGCTTTGGGCTTGCGCTCTGAGTTACACTTTGCTCCCTGAAGACTCACCTCTCCCCCAAATGATTGACACTGGAGTTATCCACCAAGCTCGCCCCATGTGATCCAGAGCCTGAGTGGTGCCTTGTGGGATGACTAGAAGCCCACCAGGAAACAGGCAAAAGGGAAGACATTCCTGGTCGAGGGAAGGGCTTGAGCAAAGGGCTGGAGATTTGACAACACATCCCTGCTGCAGGCACTGGCTGCTCTGTAAGACACGCCCAAGCAGGGAGCTTCAGGCCCAGGTCTCAGAGGAACAGCTCACTGGGGACTCATTTTTCCAGCCTCTCTCCTTTACCATTGCTCTCCCTCCACAGGCTCTGGGGGGGAAAGGCCTCTGGGAGGCAAGAACCAGAATGTGGGGCCAGGCCTGTGGATCCTGTCTCCCTCTGGGGTACCCCTGGGTACACTGGTGCCCGTGGATGCACTGGATGACTTGGAGTCAGTGGCTTGATCTCTTTAGACTTGGCCAGAGATAACAATCTGCTTTGCATCAAAGAATCTCAAGAGACTCTTAAATCCCGCTTTTCTCCCTCAGGGCTCTCTCAGTCATGAGCTCATTTGACCTCCTTGTCACCCTGGATAGTAGTTTAGAGCAGGGATCAGCCTCCCCATTATACAGATAAGAAAACTGAGGCCAGGGAAGTGACTGAACAAAGGTCCTGCAGGGACTCAGTAAAGAAGGCTTTGGAACCCAGCCTGTCTTCCACTAGACCAGGGGTCAGCAGATCCGGCCTGCCAGCTGTTTTTGTAAATAAAGTTTTTTTGGCACACAGCCATGCTCATTCACTTACATATTGTCCCCAACTGCTTTCATGATACAACAGCAGAATTGAGTAGTTGCTACAGAGACTGGCTTGCAGAGTCGAAACTATTTACCACCTGGCCCTTTGCAGAAAAAGTCTGCCAACCCCTGCACTTGCCCACAGTTTCCTGTTGAAACACTGTGTGGCTGAAAGAATATGATAATAATAATGGTATTAATGATAATAACTAATAATTACCTACTATGTGCCAGGCACCAAGCAAGACTTTCCTGAATTTTTTATTGATATGAAAGGGCATAGCTCAATGAATTTTCACTGAGTACACCTGCAAAACCAGCACCTGGATCAAGAAACAATATTACTAACCCCCTGGATGGCCCCTCCTACCGCTTCTAGTCACTACCCCTTGAAGGGTAATCACTACCCCGACGTCTCTCTTCACAGATGTTTTCTAAACTTTAACATTTTCTGAACTTTCTATTCATGGAATCGTACAGAATGTGCTCTTTTTTTTTTTTTTTTTTTTTTTGCGGTACGCGGGCCTCTCACCCCTGCGGCCTCTCCCATTGCAGAGCACAGCACAGGCTCCGGACGCGCAGGCTCAGCGGCCATGGGTCACGGGTTCAGCCGCTCCGCGGCGTGTGGGATCCTCCGGGACCGGGGCACGAACCCGTGTCCTCTGCATCGGCAGGCGGACTCTCAACCACTGCGCCACCAGGGAAGCCCCAGAATGTGCTCTTTTGTGTCTGGCTTCTTCCACTCAACAAGGTGTTTGTGAGATTCATCCATATTGTTGCATGTCATTGGAGTCATGACACTCCTGCTGATGGGCATTTGGCCTGTTTCCAGTCTCCATGGAGTATTATGAATATGCAAGATATTGGACCTCATTTCACCCCGGCTTCAACATGAGAGGGGGACCAATTAGCCTCATTGTGCAGATGTGAAGACTGACGTTAGAGACCATGGTGCCCGTGAGGTGACACAGCAGGTAGGAAAAGCCCTCGGCACAGGAGTCCCTGCCGTCCTGGCTCTCTGCCTTCCTTGTTAGGTTCTGGCTTGGAATCCCGCTGTGACTACAAACTGTTAGATCCCATTTATAAGAAATTTCTAGAAAAAGCAAAACTATGGAAACAGAAGGTAGAGGCTGAGTTGTTTGGGGTTGGGAGCAAAAGACTGACCACAAAGAGGCAGGAGGGAATGATTTGGGGCAACTGAATTGTGAGAATAATTACACAACTGTATCAACTTATTAAAGCTCGTTGAATTGTACACTTAAAATTGGTGAAGTTTATGGGATGTAAATTACACCTCAATAAAGCTCAAAAAAGAAAAAATCCCAAACCCACAGGCATCTATTTCTTCACCCCCCGCACTCACCCCCGTGCCTGGATTTTCCCTAGAGGTGTGAGAATGGCTGTGCAAACTGTCCAGAGCTGTTGAGCCGTGGAACTCTTGTCACTCCCCACCA